GGCACTCCTTACAGGGATATTCAATGGGAATATCTTTGGTACTCGTCAAAGGGATATTCAATTGGTATTTCCTAAAGGCTCGTTTTTGTCTTTGGTACTCATAAAAAGTTCAGCGTGAGTCGATTGTTTTCATCCTGTACATATTGTATGAAAGAAATGGGAGGGGAGATGTACATAACTGCTAAGCCCCTTTGCATGTCTTTTCACAGGATAATATCCCTCGTGGACCGGGGCCTCCCTGCCTACTGGATGGATCTGGTTTTACCACAACAGAAGCAGTGTTCCTCTTCGAAACCGGGAATATTCAAATTGGAAAACATGTTCTTGGTCCTCGTCGTTTCTGGAATTGCAATAACCATAGCAACAATCATTCTTGCGTTGGAAAAATGTGGAGTTTGCCCTTATTAACGAGAAATAGTGACAACGTCCTTGGAACTTACCAATGAATCTTGTTCAGAAGCAGTTTTTAACAGTGCCCCTCAACTAGTACAAACTGATAGCACTGGCCTCAAGGGTCAATGATATCAACGCCAGAGAGACTATACTTGTTTTTTTCATGTATTGAAAAAAAGAAATTACTACAGTTAGGCATCACTGTCTGAAACCAGTACGACTTGCAATTTTGTGTGGATGTTTCGTGTATGTATAAGTATGCTATCAATTTTGAAACGGTTTACAACAGACGTTTTGACTACTTTCCCTTCTTTGTTCAATCAGACTGGTTCAAAATGTGAAGACTAACGCAAAAGCACGGAACATTTCCTTTACATGTTTCATATTGAAATAAAGTTTGTTCAGTAAGTTCGAATCCACGACAGACATTTCGAAAATGCTTTCGAGGGCCGTTATGATAAAAAACCAAGAGATGTAACAGAAGTGCACTTAGTAGTGAGAATATTTTTTTTCACACAGAATCTTTCTGCCGACCATAGTCTGAAATTAAGGCAAGGGTAAGGAATGATGATTGAGTACCAGATCCAAAAGAGATTCTTTGAAATTGGAAAGCTAATTTTTATCTCACGTCATACATTTGTGTAATACATATTTATTTAATGTAAACACATCTGAAGAAGTGGTATCATTCGTAGATACAATTAAAACGTTACACTGACATGTACTGATTTGGTCTGAATGTAAGAATAATGGTGGATACAGATAAATATAAATATGGTCCAAACCCCAGGCTTGCACATGCTGTCATATTCAAGAAACACTGGACCTGAAGCCAGTGGCTTCACTGACTTGCTGCAAGGTGGGCCGAGTACAGAAGAGATAGCATGGGAAATGTGAGTATATAAGGTGAATGTCAGGTGTAGTAAGTGCACACATGAGAGAGCACATTTGCAGTATGGCTGGTTCAAGGACGTATATACGTCTTTGGCTGGTTGAAGAAGTGTCTGGTTATGTAGAAATTGCGAAGTATACCTCGGCGTCATTAATGAAGGGTGGGTGGTTGTATGGTGTTGGAATCAGTGAAAGGCATCCATGGTGGTGCAAGGTGGGCCGAGTACAGAAGAGAAAGCATGGGAAATGTGACTATATAAGTGAGTGAGCAAGTGAGTGAGTTGGGTTTTACGCCGCTTCTAGCAAATGTTCCAGCAATATCACGGCGGGGGAACACCAGAAGTGACTATAAGGTGAATGTCAGATGTAATAAGTGCAGTCATGAGAGAGCACACTTGCATTATAGCTGGTTGAAGAAGTGTCTGCTTGTATCTCATTACGTGAGATTATTTGTAAATGTTTATAATTATGTACCGCGTTGCTTTATAATGTTCCATAATTATAGGTATGTATAGATAGTTGTGTTGTATAGTTAATTATCAAATGCAGTAGCACTTATGTGTAAATCTCACCATTGAATTGCTGTACAGTTGGCAGTCGTACAAGTATGTACGTGTACTACATGGTAGTGACAATGATGTATTCAGATGGTTATTAGCATAATTACTTGTCTGTGTGTTGAATAACGTTCGTTATTCTGAGTGAAATGTAATACTGTAACCATTCTGTAAAGTGTAATGATTCTGAGTATGTAATATGTTGCAACTCGTGTGTTTATCTGTTGCCAGTTTGTTGCAACTTCGAAGTCAATTTAACTCTACCAAACTTTTAATCATAGAATATTTGTTATATTTAATACTGACTAAAACACAGCACAATCGCCAGCAACTGAAGGGATGGTGTAAATCCAGCTAGGGTCCATGCAGTCTTCAGTTGTTGGTGATGTATAGCCCGTTTTTATGTTGTACTGTCTATAGTGATTAAAATTTATGATAGCGGACTAGTTTTAAATTTATATCTGTGATACTCTAGTATTTTTACTGTCCTTCGAATGTTTTCTACGTTCTAAATTTATTGATTTTAATATTGATATAAATGAAATTGTTCTCGTCACGATATGGCTGAACTATTGCCGATGTGACGCTATATATTAACTCACTATTTGGTGTTTGGTATTTGGTTTGGAAGTTACACCAGGATTTTGGCGATGAGGGTTACCCTTATCCGTTGAAACATCCATCAATTGTCCATTAACTAACAAAGAGGTGTCTTTTATATACACATGGAAATTAATTAAGTGACACCCGATACATTTTGTAATAATTTTGTACCTTCTAAATATTGCGATGTTTAGATTGCGTGCAGATTTTGAATGGCGTTTCCTTTAACGCATGTTCAGTTTGGGGATTACACCCATCGTGCGAACACAACATGACATGCATGGAATTCAATGTAACAAATGCCCCGCAAAAAGCACTCTCAATCGGATTTGCCAAAAGGTATAAAATGAGAAAACTTCGTGATAATTAACTCAGAACTTATCAGTACTGCACGGCGGCGATATTCACAAACGAGGAGATGGGAAATTATTGGCATGCATAAACAGGAATGTCCGCCAGAGCGATTGGTCGTCAGATGAACATTAATCACTCTATCAATAGCAGACTTGTGAGAAAATTCATCGCCATCGACCATGTGAGGGATCGTCCAAAGCCAGGCCGACCCAGGAAGACTACCATTAGAAGATAATGCCCTGGCACGTCTTGTGCGACGTCAACCCTTCACCACAAGTGGCGTATTGAAAACCCGTTGACTTCCAAACACAGCTGTGTAAACGCCGCACCCAGCAGTATTCAAGCTAAGCTATATGAAGGCCGTGTGCAAATAATCGAGTCTGGACCAGACAGTCCAGTGATTGACATCATGAACATCGATCTACGCGATGACATGTGTCAACCAAATTAGCGAGCGTGACCACCTGATCCCGTTAGTCGCCTCTTACAAGCATGGGTTACTAACCCGGATCTTGTGCTTAGCAGTAAGGAAATATACCAGGGACTGCACTTGGGAATAATGATGCAAAAGGCCCCAGCAGTCAAGAAGCCATTATATTTTTTCTGTAAGACATGTTTGGAGACTTTTTTCTATTATTTCTAGGTTCACTGATATAATCCCTGTGTTACTCTCTGAACAGTACTCGTTAAATTGTACACTTTATAGTTTCACCGACTGAATGCAATTTCGTGTGCATGTTTCTATGGAACCCCTACATAAACAGCGATATCAATATGACAACAATTTTGAACTTGCCAGGAGGGTCGCTGACATGAGGGTGCAGCCCCCGACGAGCCTGAGAGGAGCCGCCTCCGGTGCAGATCTTGGTGGTAGCAGCCATTGGTAATCAAACCAATTCTAGACGATCAGTATCTATGGTAACACCCAACAGAAATGGCCTAAATTTTTATTACTCTTTCTCAGTAAACTACAGATGTCTGTATTTTTTGTGGTTGGGTCCCGTCCGGATTCGAACCTACAAACTGAGAGTTAGGTAACTAACCGCCAACACACAAAATCAGTAATCTAACCCACTCGGCTACCGTTGCTTCCACAAAAAATGGAAGTCTGACAACTGGTGGTCTTGATCACGGACTTTGTGTACCCAGGGGCTGTGGGGTAGCCTAGTGGTTAAAGAGTTTGCTCGTCATGCCTGGGTTCGATTCCCACATGAGCGCAATATGTGAACCCAAATCTGCGGTAATTTTGCTAGAATATTGCTAAAAACGGCATAAAACCTGATTCACTCACTTTGTGTACCCCCCTGACAAGTGTAAATTGGCATGGTTTCCACGCAGGAAGGTTATGAATACACAATGCCATTTAGTGGTCAAATGTAACATGTCATTTGGGATTACACTTCCTCCATAAAGTACAAATTCTAGTTCTTCTTTACACTTGTCACCGTCGGTGATTAGGCTCGTGTGTTATATTATGAAACATGAATCAACCAAAGTTTTTGTTCAAAACATGATTAGCTGTGAAATCAATATGTTGCCCAACAGCAAATACTTTCGAGTTTGACAGGATTATTTTTTTGTTGATCACCATCAAACAGAAAATGTAAGGAAGGATACATGTGTTTACTTTCATACATTATGTCAATAACACCGTAACCCTATTTCCTTAGTTACATATTGTCAGTGTCAGTAGTCAGTCAGGTAATCTCACAACACAGCCACATCTCATCAAGATGGCGACTACCAGGATCGGGTGGTCAGACATCTTTCTCACCACCTCACCCAGACCTGTGAAGATCTGGGTTAGAATTGGTCTTCAGCAACCCATGCTTGTCGCGAAGGGGCGACTAACGGGATCAGGTGGTCAGGTTCGCTGACTTGGTTGACACATGTCATCATATCCCAGCTGCATAGATCAATGCTTATGCTGTTGATCACCGGATTGTCTGGTGCAGACTTGATGATTTACAGACCGCCACCATATAGCTGGAATATTGCGGAGTCCGGCATTAAACAACAAACAAACAAACCCTACAACACGATGGAGATGGAGTAAGGGTGTGACCAGGCCAAGTATTACAAGAACCTGGAAACTTTGTTTCAGGGCTTCCACTCCACGGTTTAAAGAACAAAGGGAAGTGCATAACAGAACAAAGGGAAGTGCATAACAGAACAAAGGGAAGTGCATAACAGAACAAAGGATAAACATTATAAATATACCATTTATGGCTAAATTTTCACTTTTTACCAAACAGAGAGAAATAAAGATTCCTCCAATTTTTTAACTGTTCCATAAGTTTAAGTAACTTTACAAACATTACACAGGATCACATTTTGAAGGACTTCAGTAGATGGAACAGATTCAATCAAACACATACACAGCTTTTAGCTGTGAGCCAGACCTCTGGTGTCTGTCATGACCAGAATTGCTGTACATTAATGTTTAACATTTAACTTAAATCTTAAGTCCATATTTGCCCTGGCCCATTCCCTCCTCTAGATTACATTACAATCTGACATGCTCAGAAAGGCAACTACTGAATTGTATACACAGTCTGACATGAAATATATATCGACAGCTGGTGCTTCAAGTGTCTATTACCCCTCCACAGCCCTCATGGCTATCCAGTTCTCAGTATATTCCAGGAGCAGAGTTAGGTTTGGCCTGGAATCAACCTAATGAGCTGGCTCAAGTCATCAAAAAATCACTGCTCAGTCTCTCTTGCTTCTTCTTCATCTTCCGCACCTGCCTCTGTATACAGAGCCTCTTGCCCGGCCCAGAGACTGGCCGTTTCTTGGGTCCTGCAGCAGCTGGTCTAGAAGACTTCACTGTAAGACCCCTCGCTGTCCGAGCCTTCACCGTCCTTGGCATCACCGCCAGCCTCACTTTGGTTGTCCATTTCCTGAAGGAGGAAGTAACAAAGTGGTTCATCAAGAAGAAAAGATTGCTGTCAATAAGTACTCCTCAGTTACCTCACAATAGTTTATTTGAACTGAGCAAGAACACATATGAAAAATATGGAAAAATTCAAAGATAATAGTTGGAGTAAAATTATTAACTGAATTGAAACCCTCTGAATTTTGCCTGACCACTGCTGAGATTCGTATTCGCGTATAAGGGGCAATCATTCCATGCCCATGATTTGTTCAAGTATAATTGGTAATCTGGGTGATTAAATTTGATGTTCTTTGAGGACTAACAGGCTTTCCATGTCCCCTAACAGCAGTCAACACTTTCATACATGACATACCACATACTGAATAAGAAAGGCATTGCTAACTTAAAGACTTATGACATATATATACGGGGGGAAAGGTGAAAACTCCCAGCGATCTGCGAGAGACAAATATGAGGCAAATAACTCTAAAATAGAGGAGGAAGTCCAATGAAACAGTTTTTCCCTTGCATTATAATATCAAAGAATACAGGAAACTGCTGTTGTATCAAGATTAGAAATAATTTACAAAACTGTTAACATACTTTGAAACAGTTGCAATAATTTTAACTAATCTGTGTCCAGTAACCCAGTCCAGGGTCACAATCCACAAAACGTTCGTAGAGCTACGACATTTGTAAGCCTATGATAAACTATAGACTTACGACAGGTCGTAACGTTACGAACGCTTTGTGGATCGAGACTCTGTATACTATTAAACCTTTAAGAATCTGCATAATAAAATAATATTGCAATTATGATTTTACAATAGAGACTAGCATTGAATCTTGCATATTGTTCTGTTTGAACCAGGATTTGTGTTAGTATGGCGTGAACAAAAATATTTCAAGGTTTATTTCTTTAAGGAGTTATCAGGCATTGTAAGGCTGGACTTGCAAACCTACTGTATGAAGATTGTTGAATGTACAGTGAAAACACTGTACAAGTGCTTCCATTTGTTACCCCAATGAAATGATTGTCACCTACCACGTCACTTTCCTCATCTTCATCAGCAGGGACTGCATCGCCATCTTCTTCATCACTGTCATTCGTCGCTACAGAGGCTTGGGACAGGATTTCTTGTCCCTGAGAAATAAACCATATACTATTACATGTCAAGTTCTACATCTGAACCACTTGGTTATCTCATGACCAGCTTGCACCATGTCATTGTGGGTAAAGCATATCTCCTGCAAAGATTACCTCACACATATCTTCTTCCTATACAGTTTCGATATTTGTAACCTTACCTGAATATTTCTTTGAACTTCATATTTATTACTGTTTAATAAATGGTACAGTTTCCTGTAAATTGTAGTTTGTTTGTTTGTTTATTTGTTTATCGATCTACAATGACTTGTCAACAAAGTCAGTGAGTCTGACCACCCGATCCCATTAGTTGCCTCTTACGACAAGCAAGGGTTGCTGAAGACCAATACTAACCCAAGTCTGTAAATATTGAGAGAGCGAGTAATTGTAGATGCATTTGCAGGTGGTGATATTCCTTCCATATCACTGTGGTCTGTAAATATACAGCACCAACGATAGGATGACACACAATCAGCTCAGCTACCAGATCCTAATCTGTAATATGTCACCAGTACTGGCATCAAAGTTATACCTGCAGATCCCTGTTCTTGAGGTTACCCATCCAGAATGCTTCCAGACACTTGTTGACAGTCAACATGGCCTTCACTTGGTAGACAAACGCTTCCAGTCCTCGTTTCAACATGGGCACCTGGTTCGTCAGGGAGATGTCACGAATAATCTGCAATCAATATAACAAAAAGAATGCAATTTGCATATTACAAAAATATTGCAGAATTATTTTATTACCTTTAGAACTGAAGTCTTCAGCCAATATGATGAAATACACAGTGAAAACCACCAGGAAAATGATACAAATGCCATCCATATATGTGATCAAACAAGATTGACACTTCTTGTTCTACTAAGTGTTTACTATTGAGGGTCCTTTGAGAATATAGGGGTGACTTAAGATGGAACTCAAGACCGTAACTATGACAACAGTCTTGTAAGCATTGATTCCTGTTGTCATATGGGATGTTTTTACATACCAGTTCATATGAGAAACTGAGCTAAATCTTTAATCAAAGGATACCAGTGAGTGAGTATTTCAGAGATATACATACTGTGTTTTCAGTGTGGAGCTAGGTTATATGTAGAATTATCGACAGTTTGCACCCAAGTCACAGTGACTGGATACATTAGGGAGAAGCACTTTACTAGGTACTACAGACTGCACCCTTACTGCGTATAAGAGAAGGTAGGCTGTCTCGCATACATGGTTCATCTTTGACTGTATGAGGCAGCCATTGACAGCATGTATTACTACAATAAAACAGCTAAAAGAGGCATCTTTATATGAAATTACAAAGAACAGGCTAGACTGAATTCTGCAATACACTTCACTACTATGGCATTACTATGATATCAACGACCATCAATCATGTGCCCCTGTACAATTACATGACAGTTTGTGTTTATGAACCAAACAGCCTCCTATTCATCACAAGAAGCGTCCCTGACCTTGGAGTGGCTGGACGCATGGTGGAGGGCCCGGGTGCTCATCTGGAAGCTCTTGAGGAGATTCTGGACATCCTCCCTGTTGGTCTTGAACATACAGTCCAGCAGCGGCATGCCCTGTCTGAGGAACACCTCCAGGAACATCCTCCCGTACTGCCGACAGTAGACGGTGAAAGGCAGGTAATATAACATACAGGGTAATAGTCCCGTCCTTAAATCAAAGGCAGTCTTAATAGTCACATCCGCCCGTACTGACGACAGTAGACGGTGAAAGGCAGGTAATATAACATACAGGGTAATAGTCCTTACATAAGAGAGTCTTAAGCACATTTCTTTTGCTTTTTGTAAAGTTATACCATAAATGTCCTGAAATTTAAGCCAGAATTCACAATGTGACCTCTTGTGACCATGACCTTTACTGGGAAGTTGTCCATTATGGAGCTGAGATCCCACTTTGTAAGAGCAGTAAGTTTTGTCAAATTTCAATCATAAATACTCTTTTCAAATAATACCAAGTAAAAAAGCTTATTTGATTCACACCAAAGAATCTTCACCTTAAATGTCGAGAATATTGGCATGGTCATAATTAGGAATTATGTTTAACAAATGCAATAATTATATAATGAAAATGAATAGAAATATCAGCTCAACAGAACCCTAACATCAAACTCTTACCTTCAAAGCGGTACCCATGTTGGATCTGCCATCGAATGTCTGAAAACAGGTTTACAGCTTTAGTTTGCTTGTTTAATTGTTCTTTACTAACATAATAAGCATCAGTTTACGCAGTTGGGAAACAATGCCATCAACCAAGTCAGTGAGCCTGACCAACCAATCCAGTTAGTCGCCTTTTTCCAAAAAGCATGGGTTGCTGAAGACCAGTTCTAACCCAGATCTTCACAGGTTTTTACATCTTTAGATCTTTCTTCCAATATCGAACAAACTTTATGGCTCAATATCTTTTTATTCTTATGATTGGGGTTATTAGATTCTTGTGAGTGAGTGAAGCATAATAAAGTTTGTTCTATTGTACTTTTAGCTAATATTCCAAAGAAATCTTTATTCTTTCGTCACTAAAAGGCTCGTATATCTTGCATGCTTATCATTGGGGTTATTAAGTTCACATTATTCCAAATCACTGTTTAATTAAGTCATTGGAGATATCATCTGTAACAACAACATCTTGTCATTAAGATTTTCCGGAACATGACTATTTGAAACATCATTCACTGCTTTATATGACAAGCACTGTTGTACCCGGATGAGGTTGACGAAGATGTGCAGGATCTTGACAGCCGAGTTCCACCGCAGCAACCTCTCCACTTTCAGCTGTGGAACATCAACAAAGGTGCACCATTACATGCTCTGAACATCAGGGTGTCATGTGAATAATCTAATCCTACAATGCCATTGCTTGACTATATCTAACTTGTCTCGAACAAACACATTTTACATTTAACAGTTACACAGTGCAACAACCGCACGATCCCATTAGCCAAGGTTAGTGAAAATATACTATGTAGGGTACCACACAGTCCCTATTTTAAACCAATGAATCAGGTAAAATCCTGATCCGAGCAAGAGGATCCAGTGGCACATGAAAGCTCAGATTACAATGTACATCAATATTAATGGTTCTTGCTTGACAACATCTGCCTTACATACTGCCTGTCTGGCAGTGGGAAGGGTTTGGACAATGTTCATGCATAGAGTGGTTGCTGTCTCTGAGTTATAACAACTGTGTTTAATTTTTATCTCAATAACCTACATCTCTTGACTCATTAAGCTTCCCAGCTGGGAGTCGCTTGATGACCTCAATCAGCTCACTGAACAGCACTCGGTAGTACACAGAGAAAGAGTGCCTGAAACAAGACATGATGATGTCAGCAGAACACAGAACAAGACATTGTGAATTCAGTCGTAAACAGTAGAAATCCTGCAGTTACTTGACGCCTTGTTTGAGAATGGTTGTAACGCACTTTAGCTCACCTTGTTCTGGAGGGGTTCACATATTCTGCAAGTCAGAACGTCTGAAAGTGGATCTCACATACTGTAGCTCACCTTATCTGAAAGTGGTTCTCATATACTGTAGCTCACCTTGTCTGAAAGGGGTTCTCATATATTGTAGCTGACCTTTCCTGAACGTGGTTCTCATATATTGTAGCTCACCTTACCTGAAAGTGGTTCTCATATACTCTAGCTCACCTTATCTGAAAGCGGTTGTCATATACTGTAGCTCACCTTGTCTGAAAGTGGTTCTCATATACTCTAGCTTACCTTATTTGAAAGTGGTTATGATATACTGTAGCTCACCTTGTCTGAATGTGGTTCTCATATACTGTAGCTCACCTTGTCTGAAAGTGGTTCTCATATACTATAGCTCACCTTATCTGAAAGTGGTTCTCATATACTGTGGCTCACCTTGTCTAAAAGTGGTTCTCATATAGTGTAGGTCACCTTATCCGAAACTGGTTCTCATATTCTGTGGCTCACCTTAATGTGGTCTCATATACTGTAGCTGATCTTATCGGAAAGAGGTTCGAATATACTGTAGCTCACCTTGTTAGAGAGGGGTAGGAATTGGAGCATCCATTCTTGCCTGCCTCAATCAGCTCCCGACATCCTATTGTTAGTTCCTCAATGGCCTCCACTGGATCAGCCGAGTACACCAGGAACATCCTAGAAACGCAAGATGTTGCATACTCACTGCTGATCCTTCACCACACACATCCAGGCATCAATATACAGGGACGGGAATGTTCAGGCTTGATGATAAAAGATAAGGTGACAAGGTGACATTTTACAATATATCCATGTTTTGTTTTGTCGTCTTACTTGATGACAATCTGTAGCTGTTCGTTGTGTTTGGCTCCCTTCTCTCTCTGTCCATCTGGCCCTAACCATTCCGCTTCAGAAACTCCTCAGCAAGAACAGCTGTTTTCAGGTGAAAGAGGCGAGACATTGTTAACTCTATAATGTAAAGTCATGTTTATGCATGCTGGAATAACCCTTGATGTTAAACATAACAATGACACTAGATTATCATATCCATATAAGCAATTACCATATTTTTTTCTATCTTTCTAATCGAACTGAACATTTTCATCTTTGGTTTTGTGATTTTATAAAAGAATTCTGGTCATTGTACTTTCAAGCAAATAAATCCAAGTGTTCTCACCAACTTTCCCTTTAAGCTCTGGTAAGGTTGTCTTCTCCACCAGTGTCGTCAACAGTCTCAGCAGTGTCACTGCTGTAGGGAGATTCGACACTGTAGCTGCAAAGTTCTGGCAGTAGTTGAAGGCTCCCCTGTAACAGAGGTTTTGTACAATCAAGTCTACGCTTCAAGACATAAAGGAGGCAGTGGGGTAGCTTATAGTGGTTAAAGTGTGCACTTGTCATGCCGAAGACCCAGGTTCGATTCCCCAAGTGGGTACAATGTGTGAAGCCCATTTCTGGTGTCCCTGCCATGATATTGCCGGAATATTGATAAAAAGCGGCGAACAAATTAAACTCACTCACTCATTCATGACATAAAAATAGTTACATATGTATATTATAGATGCGATGCTGTCTCTCGTGATGAAAGGAAAGGAAATCTGCCTCAGCAGACATTTCTATACAATATACTACACACAAGTGAGTTATCACATAACACTTTCCAGGGTTCCTACAGATTATCAGATATCAAATTTAAGGCCATTTTAGATCCTTTTTCAAGGGCCATTCAATAATTTTAAGTCCAAAAAGAAACATATAATTAGGGGTGACTATTGAGGGGAAACAACTATTGCGATAGCGACAGTCCATTGCAACATACTATTGCGATAGCGATAGTGTATTGCGACCCATTATTGCAATAGTTTTTCACTCCTTTAATTGTCTCATTTGAAGTGATTTCCAAAATGAATGTATAGTTTATATTAAATAAAAACAAGATGAAGTAGTATCAGTCTCTCTTAATAGCTGACAAGAAACTTGAAGCCCAGATCAAGTAAACAGTTAAAAACATAAACTCAATGAAGCTGTAGGTCTTCATTATGTATCATTACACGACATATTTACACAAACACAAACAGGTAAATGACATCCATCCATCCCTCCTTCCTTCATCCATCCATCCCTCCATCCATCCATCCTCTCCCTTCCCATCCATCAATTCCTGTCGCTCCTTCCCTATCCCTCCACCCCCTCCCTATCCATACATCCATTCCCCTCCTACCCCATCCATCCATCCCTCCACCCCACTACCTCCCCATCCATCCCCTCTCCCAATCCATCCATCCATTCCCCTCCTTTCCCATCCATCCATCCCTCCACCCCACTACCTCCCCACATCCATCCATCCCTCCATCCATTCCCTCTTCCTCCCTCCCCCATCTCTCCCTCCCATCCATCCATCCATAAATGTTCACCATTCATAACTACTCGCCTCTTTCCATGACCTACAAGAAGACTCGTACCTGTATAGTACGCCATTATTGTCAAGAATCGTGGCAAACCAATTAAATCACACATAAGGAAATGTGAAATACGGTCAAATAGTTTCCTTGCAATTATCGATTTTCATTATCATTTCCATGATTATAAAATCATCTTGTTACTGATATTTGTTAATGACATAAGAAACTTAAAGTGACTTTCGTGTTGGTGTTTTCTAGGAGTAGCCATGTTTGGAATTTCAGAGTTATCCTTCCTTAGAAACAGTCCAAGACTATTTTCATCTCTGTATTCGTTTGCGCTTACAAAAGGCCCAGTCGTGAACATGGCCAGGGGTACGAGTTGCCATCCGGCTTGCCAGAATGACACGAGTAGTTACGGATGAAATGTTCACCTGACAAGGTCATGGAAGGAGGACTGTGAGCTGCTGCTGGACTTGATGCGGGACACCAGGGCATTCAGGCCATCCTTCAACAGCTGCCGGTTCTCAGCCATCACAAAACCATTCCTGGAAGCAGAACATACCTCTCATAGCTGCATCTGTATTGGTAAATCAACATACTATTTCCAACCAACTGCCAAAACACTTCTACTGAAACAAAACCAGTTTATCAGATGATATTTGTGTCTTTTAGTTTCCATTATCGAAGACAAAAGCCCCAATTGAAATATAAACTAAACCTAGTCTTAATCATAAAAAAAATGAAAGTTACTAACAACTTATTAAACGATTGTGGATCATCTATATCGCATACTGTAGCTGGAAAAAAAAAAACAGATAAAAAAATATTCTGTAGTAAATATGTGTAAACGTTAGTTTAAAGAAAAAAGATTATACGGTACGAAGATGTATTTTTTTAACTTCATCTGGGTTGACTCCATAGGACTTTCCAACCATACATAGGAACCCAGTAGGAATGTAGGGTTACCATGAGAACAGAGACAGCAGTGACTGCAGCAGGAGCTTGAAGCAAGATCCCATCAACACGGCCTCTGGGGAGTTGCTGCCCGGGGCCGTCTAGCATGCCGTCGTTCTCGGATATCAGGGTCTGTACACATAAACATCAGGACTGGAATAAGTTACACATGCTCCACTCTGAAATCTGGACACATGGAATTCAGAATATCAAATTACATTCTACCATGACATTTAAGTATGCTCGTTTTTGATTGGCTGTTACTAAAAAATTAGAAGTGAAAAAATTTCAATAGCTACTTCTGAGAGCCAGTTCACCTAGCGTAGTGTCAAAATACTATGCAAGGGTAATGAGTGCATATTTACAACATGTTTTATTCATGGTGCATATGTCATGGTAGAATGGAGATAATCCTATTGCGTTTACATTTTGGAAGTGATTATAGTTGGTTGAACGCTGCTAAATGTCATTTAAAACCGAACGCGTTAGCGGCCCAAAACGTAATAATAGGATTATCTCCTAATTGATCATCAGTCGGGATTGGTCCAATTCCACAAAACAACTGGTAACACATTGGTGTCCCCTTCCCTAAGTTAACCAGAGCTGAAGAGTGCATTTTTGTCCCTCCCTTCAGTTGACCTACCTGGAAGAAAGCACTGGTGCCCTCCAGGTGCTCACACAGTGGCGGCAGCAGGTGGATCATGTTGGTGGTGATCTCAGTGGCTGTGTACTGGTCCAGGTGGGAGAACCCAACACTCTTGTCAGCCTTGGTCTATAACACAAGAAGTTATTCTCTTCTTCCACTACCTACAAATAATGTCAGTGAGTGAGTTGGTTTTACACTGCTTGTGGCAATATTCCAGCAATATCACGACAGGGGACACAAGAAAGGGCTTCACAAATTGTACCCATTTGGGGAATCGAACCCTGGTCTTCGGCGTGACGAGCGAACGCTTTAACCACTAGGCTACCCCACAGCCCCCCTACAAAGAATGACACCCAAGGACATTCATCATTGACTACCACATGTATCTCTATAGCACTGTGTTGTGCCCTTGGTGTCAGTGAGTAGCTGTTTGACAGTCAGCAAGAGAGTATAACAATGACCATTATTTCCCTAACTGTTATAATCTATACAGCAATACATATAAACAACTCTCATAGCATGATTATTTTGATATAGTCATATCTTTTCCAGCCATATGGCAGCATCATAAACTAGTGGCTGATACAATGAACATCATGGTCCGGTTGACACACACTCATCTGACTCAAAGCAGGGATACACACATTGAGGAAAGTCCTGCGTTTGGCAGCTGAGGCCAGTAGTGAGTGGTCCAGTTTTCTGGTCAAGTCCTTCAACAGGAACTCCAACTGTGGCGGCTGAATCTGCAGATTCTCAGTGGCCTGCAACACCATGCACAATGTCAGCTATATATGTCAATAAGGGTCATGTTTCCAATGAAGGCTTACATATGATGAAATTAACCTTTGAACAACTATTTATTGTTGATGATGACCCACACTCAACTCTGTTGAGAAAAAGTGACCACAGCCAATGTACCACTTTTATCAGCCATTGTTGCCACCAAATCCCCATTTCAGCTGCCTCTACCCACAAGGGTGAGGTGGTTTGTTTGTTTGCAATATTCCAGCTATATGGCAGTGGTCAGTAAATAACAGTCTGGACCAGACAATCCAGTGGTCAACAGCAAGAGCACTGATCTACGTAATTGGGATATGATGACGTGTCAACCAAGTCAGCAAGCCTGACCACACAATCGGGTTAGTCGCCTCTTGTGACAAGCAAGGGTTGCTGAAGATCTTCACAGGTCTGGGTGAGGTGGTAGGAATGATATATCTGCCACAGAAATCTTGAAAACAAATGCAACAGGTGTTTGCCACTGATATGGCAATGTCCCCCTGCCGCTAAAGAATGGAATATTAATAATACATTTACTCCTTTTCTTTTGGTCACATACAAGATGCTTGAAATGAATGGTGTCTGCATAATCACCCAATGTAGGCTGTCGACATACTTGAAGACATTGGGTACAACAGTTCATGAGATATTGCTTTAACAAGAAACGGGACGTATGTAGGGATGCCACTAAATACATACAGTGCACTCTGTCTAATTCGGATTGGTTTGGGACCGACTAAAAAGTCCGAATTAGACAGCAGTCCGAAGTACACAGATATTAATGGAGTTATCTCCCTTTGACGTGCATACGCTTGTGCATGAAGCACATATTACATGACTGACTGAGTTTAGGTTTACGCCGCTTTTAGCAATATTCCAGCAATATCACGGCGGGGGACACCAGAAATGGGCTTAACACACTGTGCCCATATGGGGAATCGAACCCGGGCCTTCGGCGTGACGAGCCAACGCTTTAACCACTAGGCTACCCCACCGCCCCTACATATTACATGAATGCGTATAAAGACGAAAGACTTACTGACAAAGTACATGTACATTTGTTTATTACATATGTGCATATAAAAGCTTTAGTTTGTGAAGAAATCAGTCATCAAAGACTGTGACTGACTTTTAAGTGAGTGTTTTAGGATCATAGTTTCTGTACTGGCTTCGAGTGTAGCCACAGGATTCAACAGTTCAGGTGAGTTTTGCACCATGGCAAAATGTTTTATTTCCCTCAGCATCTCTAGAACCTTTGGATATGTGAGGTTGGTAGTCAGTGAATCACTTCTGAATAGCTCAAGATTCATTGATAAGATTTATCTTGGTTACAAGTGACAATTCAGTACGCGGGCGTTTTCGTGGTCACTCAGACATTTTGACCTGATTTGATATCACACTGTGTGTGAAGGCCTCTTAAATGCATAGTGACATTGACACTGAGTTTACATGATTATAGTTTACAAATTAGTGTTAATCGCATCAAAGGTAAATACGCGTTCACTGCTAGACCAAGTGGTCTTGGCCAAGCAGACTTCCTGCTCAGTAAATAAGACAAAATACACAAACCAATCAACGGATTGTTTATTCAAGGTTTATTGGCCAGCGGACTTCCTGCTCAGTCCGGATTATAAAGCAATGTTTTTACGTGTAACTACCTTTTTGGGCCGACACTTTGGTCCGAAATCCGAAATAATGAGAGTCCGAGATACAGAACTTTTTGATTATGACAACAAAGAAGGATTACTTCAGGGCCCCGTTCCTCACAACGATCGTAGCACTAAGGTGATCGTAACTCCCATACCTTAACATAGACTTACGACTGTCGTAGCGCTAAGATCGCTTTGAGGAACGGGGCCCAGGACCGTAAGTTCAGTCCGGTTTATACAGCAATCCGAGAAAGACAGAGTCCGAGTTTGACAGAGTGCACTGTAGTCCCCCCAATAAATGTAAAACTGATCAACCTGTACCTTTGTGTTCATCTCGGAGTCAAGAGCAGCCTTGGTGATGAGGCCAGCGTTCAGGATGGTGAACACGCTCACATCTAACTCCCTACAAGGAAAACAAGACAAGTGGTGATTGTGAGTTTTCAGGAGCAGACATGATTCACATTACATCAAAGCTGGCCAATTGAAGAAGACTTAACTCAATCAGGCATATTGTAAAACCCCACCAAAACACTGCATGCAGAAAGCTAGACTGACCTAAAGTACTGAATGAATACTGAACTGCAAAACAAACACTCGGATGCCAATTTCAGAGTGTTTAATTTCGAAATATGATGACCACAAACTGAGAAATAAGAAACAGTTATGACCAGTACATGTCAAAGAATGTTGTGAAATATTCTCAGTAACAAAATCACCACAACAGATAAGAACATGCAAACTCAAAAGAGTCTTGTGTAACTATGGACAACGATTACAGACATTCTTCTCCTCTACATGGAGTATAGGGCTCACACACTGAGAAACACCTGAGCAGCTGTGAACCCATTGCCTGTTCTCCGACCTTAGTTCCTGGAACACTAATGGATCAACTTTCTGACTGAGATCAACTGCACCCAACACCATGATCCTTGAAAGAGCCCAAGAATCTCTTTTCATCACACAGACATCTGAATATAGTTCCCCATGTCTATATTACTCTCTGCCATCTGCCCTCAAAACATAGTACAGTGGAAGCCCTCTAAACCGGCATTTGGTTTGTCCAGCAAAAAATGCTGGTATAGAGGGCATGCTGGTTTAGAGAACGTTTCCCTTTTCGACCTGAGAATGATCTTCCGTGTACTGCTTTGAACTGCTTGATGTCGTATCGTGTCTTCCATCGTGCCACCCAACCATCTGATGCCTTAAACTCATTGATATTTAATTCTGAAGCAAACTGAATAGCATTCTCTTTCAAAATTGGGCCAGAAATGGGCATATTTTTACTGCGGGCAGTCAAAAACCTATCATGCGTCAGTGTGTTAATTTTGTCAAATTTATTGTTTTCATTCACACAATTAATTTATAATCTACAATCAGCCAATCAACAGGAGAGCAGAGATATCGGATGCCGGTTTGGAGAGCATTAATTACTGTACAAACAGTCAATTGGGAGGTCCTTTGTTGTGCCGAAATACGGAATATAGACTAACGCCGGATTAGAGGGAGTGTAATGATCATAAATTAACTAACTTCTGCCTGAACCAAATTCAAGTGCCGATATTGACAGCATGCCGGATTGGAGGGCTGCCGGTTTAGAGGGCTTCCACTGTATAGGCTTTCAATCATGAAAAGGTGATTTTCTACAAACGGAAGCTCCAATATGATCATGTTTCATGGTCCACTGTAGTCGGTCAAGTCTGACAAGGTGTTAGAATTTGCCCTGATAGAGTCTCATCATGCAGATTGGCCAGCTTCCTAAAGTCTAGTTTTTCTAATTCCATGCAAGTCTTGGCACTGAGCTAGTATCGATTCAAGCTGGATCTGCGTATTATGGTGCCTTAAAAATGTATTGATAGATTCATGGAAACTTTCTTGAACTACAATTTAGAGGCTATTTGCAGTTCAGTCCCTATTGGCGGACAGACTGACCTGAAGTACTGCATGTAGGTGGACAGACTAACCATCTTCTCCTCCTTGTCCCCCTCCTTCAGCTGGGTCCCTGACTGGCTCGGCTTCTGGGACTCCTGGGGATAAACTCTCAGCTTCAGCAGAACATTGCAACACTATGTCACTATACAACAGCATAAAGTACTCTGTGCAGAATGGAAACTCCTGTTTCTACAAGCAAGGACATTGTGACTATGACTAAAGACATACAAAAATGTCTAAGTAAATCATACAATCAAGAAATCAGGCAAATATATAGTGATGCGGAGAGGTCAGCATCCAGTTAAGTGTCGGATGTCTCCAAGCAGTGTCAGATAATCTGAACCATGTTATATTGTTTGTAAACCACCATCGCTGAATACCACAACATGCCACACAATTGCGATGATGTACCATCACAATATACTCACAGACTGTGTGGAATCTCGGCTGTTCTCGTCCATGTCTGCAGAAATATTCTCCTTCTCGGACTGTTTCCTGTTACACATCAATGGGTGTCACTCATTTCAAACAACACAGAGTACAAGAGATGGAGACAACTGGACTGTCATGTACAAAATCAAAAACCCAGGTATTCGAGATGAGTGATCCATGACCAAATCCATAACTATCTGTCCGCAGTCATCATCATTACCAATACATGCAAACAACGATTCAACTATACTTAAGCAGAAGAAATCAAATGTTTCCTTCACTTCACAATATGACTACCTACAGGTCACCAGTCTACAAACTTGGTGATGGCCTGCAGTCTGTTTGCTGTTATTAAAACACCAAGAATTACATGATCGCTTGAAAAACAACTCTTTCCCTTTAAGTTATGATGACGAGTATACATAGGAAAATAAACAATTTCCATGCAATTTAAGACAAGCTGCTGCTTTCAGATGGATATTTCATTGGCACAATTTTGCAGCAAATGGACTGAATATCAGACTGTTTTGTTTAATCCTTACTGAGCTGTTTCAATCACATAAAATCAAGTCTTACTTCTTTCCTGGTTTTCTCCCCTTCTTCTTGCCCTCTGCTCCACGAGAACCACCACTAGAGGGCTCCACCTGCTGGGTCTCTTCAAGGTCAAAGTTTGCAACTGGAGGTCGGAACCCTGGAGTAACTGTCAATCACAAGTTAGAGACAATTACAGATGTTTTTCCAGCACAGAAAAATTAAATGTCAGTCAAGTGACAGGGAAAAAATATATCATTTGACATCGTTCATTAAGACCTTCTTTTCTGAAAGTTTTATGTATTTAGCCTTGTACATTAAACAATATTGTAAAACAAGATATTAAATTCATTTCCTTGACAAGAGTGAGTGAGTTAATATTTAACGTCACATCGGCAATATTTCAGCCATATTGTGACCCTTGACAAGATCCTGATAACGCGTGACATACAAGTCCCATTTGTGAAGCTAAAACAATTATGTATTGGCATAAACTATTGAATTGTGAATATTAGTTTCAATCGCAGAATTACAAAAAAACATTTGCTGTGGATCCAATGCTGAACATCATCCTAGAAGAAACCTTGATTACCACACAATGTCATTATGGACTATATACAATCTGTATGACACCCACAGAACTGTACGTACCTGCCAGCAGTCTCTCCAGGGTGTTCTGCACTTCCGTGATGTTCTGCAGCCTTACGATGACCTTGCCCTTCATCTCCGGCATAGTCTGCTTGGCGAAGCAGTTGGCCAGCTGACCAGGGAAACAAAAGTTTAGGGTGGACACAGGTATATCTACATACATATTCTTTTTCAGAGAGATCGTCCTTGGGGTACATATTATGCATTTTCCGGCTGAAAAATGTCCTGTGACAGTTGTATCAATGTTTTTTGAATAAAAAGATTGTACAATAAATAAACTCTTTTATTTATTATACGGACCCTACCTCACGGAGTTACCTCCCTTAGCGCATGCGCACCAACTGGGTAGGCTCCTAGACCCGTATCATCATTCCTTCTGCTGTCACGGCCGTGAACAGACGTGTTTTGATAACCCATTCATGAGCCGTACGGCGCTGTTAAAAGAGACTATGTCTGAGACACCACCTGTATGTATGGTCTTTATTTGTCTAAAACAAGAACAGTAAAGCTTTACAGTTGGTTGTTTCATAATTGTGACTTTGTATTAATACAAAATCTGTGAACTTTCCGTGGTTACATGCGTGTTGCTCTGCCATGGCGGGAAGTTTAGCGTGCCATGTGGTCGTAATATTGGTATTAAAACCAACTATTACTTTCCGTGGTAACCTTCACGTAGTTTTTCAATGTTTTCTACGTGTTTATATGCTGCTGGCCGCCGTTAACTAACATGTTTGGCGTGTTTGTTTCAGGCCTTTTCATGCTGTTCGGTCTGTGAGGGTATCCCCGGGCCGACAGTCATACCTGTTCTGCGTGGCCTGTCTGGAGAAGACAGGCCATGAGGCTGACTCCTGCCCTATTTGTCTGGCCTTTTCCCCCAGGCCCAGAAGAGGCGGCTGCCGACACCTTGTTCTATCGCTGAAATCGTGGCGTGGCGGGAGGGACCTGGCGCAGGTTCCCCGTCTAAGTCCAAGCGTGTGTCAAAAAGGGAAAAAATCCCGTGGCCCTTCCCCTCTCCTGCCACTTCGGTGGTTTTGACATGTCACTGATGGAGTCTATGTTTCAGCAGCAGATGGACTCGATGAAGTCCTTCGTTCGGTGAGTCGGTTGGAGGTCTCCGGCAGGAGTTCCTCACCCACTCCGGACGGGGCGGAGAGTCGGGGGTGGGATCGCCGGCTCGGCTCGATCCCTCAGCCTTGAGGCGTCTGTAGATCCGTTGCCTCTGGCTTCGATCCGGACGCCTCGGCTGCTGCTCGGAGAGGAGGTGCTCCCAGTCCCCTCTCGGAGCTCTCGCTGCGAGGGCCGTTGAGTATTCCTGGTATTCCGGTCCTTGCGCACACCGCCGCCCCATGAGGCCCGGAGGCACCAGTTCTGCCTGGCCTGCCTCCAGCGTCTGGGACCGGGTCCACGCGCGCCGGCTGGCGCTGGCGACGGAGCAGTCTGTCTGTTCTTCCTTCCTGTGGTTCCTAGCGTTAGGCAGTCCACCGGGTCGGGGTTAGGGTCCTCTTACGCAGGAGACCCAGCCTCTGACTCGGGCTCGGGACGCCGAGCAATGGAGCTTGGGGAGGTCGAGGAGCATGACGGCTGCTTCCGTTTTGCTTCGGCCTTGCGGGAGTCCGGCAGAAATTGCCGAGGGCCTACCCCAGGCAGCGGTGCCTGCTGGTTGCGTGGACTCGACTGAGTTCCGCTTGCCTGGCGAGGCGTTTGCCCTAGGCAACCCTCACAGACGCAGCTCCGCATTCTGCCATCGTTGGTCTCGGACGTGGTCGATCCCTCTTGTCTGGTGCCCGAGTAAGGTTTGACTTACCTGAACTCGTCGGCGGCGCTACCAGCTTGGGGAGGATTCCTGTTCGTTGTACCGATTGTTGACGAATGTGTTTTCACTTCCGTCGCCCTGGGGGCTCGGCTTCCTCGGAGCAGCTCGGCTGCTCGGCAAGGGCGCCCCCTAACTCCACCTTTTGCCCTTTCGCTGGAGCCTTCTGCAGCACGCGCGTGCCCGGACCTCTGAGGAGGTCTACCGAACGCCGATGCAGCAGGTGCGGGTGGTGGTCCATGAGAGCCTACCTCTCCTCGGTTCAGAGGTCGGCCCTGGAGGCGGGGCATGCTGGCGGCGCGTGTCGCCGCGCATGTCGTGCTGCTCCGTCAGCTTTCGAAGTGCAGGCTCACCTCGCCGACTCTTTGCGGTCTGCTGCGTCGACGGTGATGTGCGCAGTCATGGGGATGCGCCGGCTGTGGCTGTCGGCGTCTAGGTACTTCGGCAGCAACACAGCAGACCTTGCTGGCCCTCCTTTCCGTCTGGGAGCGACCCTCTTTCCAGGGGCCCAGCAGGTCATACGGGAGGCTGCCGCTGCAGCTACCTCCTTCAAGGACTCTAAGGCCTTGTTGGAGCACCCGCTGGTGTCTCGCCCCCCGGCTCCGTGCCACCTTCCTCCGCCGGGTGCAGCCTACACCGAAGTCTGCCGGGCTGGCCCGGCCGCTTGGTAGGGGTAGGCGGAGGAACAGGTCCGCCAAGGGTAGGGGCAAGGAGCAGTCCTCGACTAGCTCCCAGCCTTTCGCTGGCTGGAGGTCTGCCCGACCTCCCGTTAACCCATCAGGCTGCCGCTCAAGCCGTGTGTCACGCCCAGTCAGCTCCGCTACCGGTACTACACGTGTGCTCCTACCCATATCCCAGTGGGAGGCGCTTCTCTCTATTCCTGCCGGAATGGGAGAAGGCTACCAACAACGGCTGGGAGCTGGCCACGGTCAGCATAGGCCATCTCCCACTGTGGAAGCGAGGTCCGCCCGTTTCACCGGCATACGCCGCACTCGGTGCCGTCATGTCAAGCCAGGGCGGACATATTGCCGCGACGTTCAGGCTCTGCTGGACAAGTCCGCAATCGAGCGCGCATTCCACCGGAGAGGAACAGGCGGGATTTTATTCCACGCATTTCTTCCTCGTCGAAGAAAGACGGCGGGTTCCGTCCGATTCTCAACCTCAAGGGGTTGAATCGCATGCTCGAAGTACCATCCTTCAAGATGGAGACACTGCGCCGGTGATCTCATCTGTTCAGCCCGGCGATTGGCTCCGTCAATCGACCTAAAGGATGCGTGATCTGCATGTACCCATACATCCATCGTTCAAGCAGTACCTTCGGTTCTCTTACGACGGGATGTATTACCAATTCAGGGTGCTCCCCTTCGGCATATCGACTGCCCCAAGGGTGTTCACCAAGCTCATGTTAGTCCCAGCTACCCTAGCTCGCCGCTAAGGAAGGCGTTGTTACCCTTACCTAGACGACTGGTTGCTCGAGCACTAACACAGCCAGCGAAGTCAAGATGCTACTCACACAGTGATAGACATTCTAACTTCGACTGGGGTGGATCATCAACCTCAAGAAATCCGACCTGGTACCCACCCAGGACTTGGTTTTCTTGGAGCGGCGATTCAAGCGAACAAGGATCTCGTTTCCTTGTCGCCCCGACCGGGTCACCAGAGTTCGGAGATGGTCTCTTCATTCCTCTCCCAGCCCCAGGCACCAGCACGGACTTGGCTCCGTCTACTGGGCCATATGGCGGCGACGATCTCTGTAGTGTGGCGGCGCGGTTGAGGATGCGTCCCATACAGCAAGCTTTGGCTGGGCTGTGGACTCACACGGAGGATCTGGAACGCAGTCTCACAGTCCCCAGTGGTTGACACCTCACCTTCAGTGGTGGACAAATGTCGGGAATCTCACCAGGGGTTCCCTTGGAAATCCCGGCGCCAGCTCTCACAGTTCAGACAGATGCGTCCCTCACGGGCTGGGGGCGTTCTGGGCAGTCTGTCGGCTTCGGACTCTGGTCCGGCCGAAGCTCACCTTCACATCAACGTGTTGGAACTGAGAGCTGTGCGGTTGGTATTCGAAATGCTTCAGAGAGCATGTCCGTGGCCAGGTAGTCCGTCTTCAGTTAGACAACCAGGCGGCCATGTCGTACATCCTGAAGCAGGGAGGCACGGTGTCCCCAGCTCCTCGGGGAAGCGTGGGACTTTCTCCTCTGGAGCGACCAGTACGATTGTCAGGTACTCCCTGTTTATCTCCGGGCTGGAGAGCGTCGCGAGCAGATGCGCTCTCGCGGATCCTGGCCCCGCACGAAAGTGGATGCTCGACAGGCAGATATTCACAGTAATCTCCCAGTTGTATGCGGTCGTTCGAGGTGGATCTGTTTGCGCCCCGGGCGGACGCATCAGACACCCGCGTGTTCTGCTCTCGATACCGGACCCAGGGCGTTGGCTGCGCCTTCCTGCTGGATTGGGCGGGCAAAGTGCTCTGGGCGTTCCGCCGTTACCACTCATTCCCCGTGTCCTTTCACAGCTGTCCACCCAGCCAGCTCGGCTACTTGTGCTACTGGCACCGCTTTGGCCGTCACAGAGCTGGTTTCGGTAATTCTCAGGTTTCTGGCTCAGCCTCCTGTTCTATTACCTTTGGCGACCGGACATTCTCACTCAGAGCGGGCGCCCCACCCAAATCCACGGATTCAGTGGGTGGCTTGGCCTCTGTCAGGTCTAACCTCGAGGCACGCGGAATTCCTGCAGCAGTTGCAGACACAATTCTGGCTTCGAGGGGATTCGACAAACGCTCAGTACGAGGATAGGTGGTCCCGCTATGCGCCGCTGGTGTTCAGATAAGGGGATTGCAGATCCCTTTTCTGCGGATTTAGTCCGGTATTGGAGTTTTTAAAGCTCGTTTGGAAGAAGGCCTGGCGGCCCGACCATTGGCGGCTACTCCACGCTATTTCCACTTTTCACACCCCTGTCGATGGTGCTCTTCTGGGGCAGCACCCTCTCGTGCAAGCGCTTTCTGGCTGGCGGAACGGATTCGACCTGCTCTCAGGCGAACCAGTCCACCTTTGGGATTTGTCGATCGTGCTTTCGATTGGCTGTCCGGTCCCACTTTCTCACACCTATCGGCTATTTCCATTCAGTTGTTGACCTGGAAAGCTGTTTTTCTGGTGGCGGTAACATCTGGTCGAAGGGTCGGCGATTTACATGCTATGTCGTCCGACCGGCGCTGACTGTGTTTCACACGGATCGTGTCAGTATTAAGCCTCCCAGATACTTTACCGACCGAAGGTCGATCACGCTTTCCATGTGACAGCTCCTATCGAACTTCCTACTCTTACCCAGCCTTCCACATCGGGGACCACTCCTCGAGCACTCACCCGTTGGATGTCCGTAAAGGCGCTCAAAGTCTATCTCAAACGAACGCAGGGGATCCGTCACGGGTACCCAGCTGTTCTGTTGTTACGGTGGCGGGAAGGCTGGTCTGCCAGCGAGCAAGCAGACTTTGTCTCGCTGGCTAGTATCGTGTATTTGTGCCGCTTATCAGGCTAAGGGCAAGCCTCCCCTGAGGGTTGAAGGCTCACTTTCGGTCAGGGCAGTAGCAGCATCAAAAGCTTTTGCATCGGCACTCCCATTGAAGAGATCTGCTCACCGCTATTTGGAGCCGACCAAAGCACGTTATATCGCCATTATCAGCTCGTCGCATTCCGTAATCGTGCAAACTTTGGCGTTACTGTTCTCTCCAGTGGACAGTGTCCTGCCACCCTGACCGAGTGAGTCTTGGTTTATTGGTTTGTTTTGACGCTACTGTACAATAAGATTCCATTATTGACATGTCTGCTAATGTGAGCTCACTCAGAGAACCTGTACCCCTTCGATTCTCTCACGGAGTTACTGTATCGTTAGTGAGTGGTATTTTGTTTTCCCCTCACGGTGCTCTCATGAAAGAAGCCACTTAGTGGGTCGGATTTAGTTGATATTAGCACTACGTGCAATGTCTCATTATGCTAGAGGTCGTCTTTGAGCACAAATCCTCCCTGTCAGTTCCCCTCCCATAATGCCTCTCGCGGAAGCGCAACTGGGTCAAGTGACAGGTGAGTGTTATGGCGTCTGTTCAATTTTTTCCCTGATACGATCACTATATTTGAGTGTGTGCTTGGACAGAATTCCCTCCTCCCTGGCCTCCGGTCTTTGGGAGTCTGTGTTTATGCATAATATGTACCCCAAGGACGATCTCTCTGAAAAAGAATTAACCAAACCTGCAGAGGTTTTCAATTCTTTGAAGAGAGTAGTCCTTGGGGTAGGGCCTCCCACCTCCCCGCAATTCTGTTCACTGATAAGAATTCAGCAGAAGGAATGATGATACGGGTCTAGGAGCCTACCCAGTTGGTGCGCATGCGCTAAGGGAGGTAACTCCGTGAGGTAGGGTCCGTATAATAAATAAAAGAGTTTATTTATTGTACAATCTTTTTATTCAAAAAACATTGATACAACTGTCACAGGACATTTTTCAGCCGGAAAATGCATAATATGTACCCCAAGGACGACTCTCTTCAAAGAATTGAAAACCTCTGCAGGTTTGGTTAAGTTTCACACTGTCTTAAAACATTCCAAGCATAATACTTGTTAATACTGGGCCACCTAAGAGGTACAGCAATAATTAAGTAAAAAATTAAGGTACAAAAAGATTAATAGAGATACATGATAAATCTACAAAGAGAAATCTTAGTGATTCAGTCTTCTGTCAAAGTTGAAGAGACACAATGCTGTTTGGTGTTAACATATCCTGTTTATAGCATATGGTTTCAGATACTCTGTCTAAGAATCATCCTCCCTATCTATATTTATAATATGCAAATACCAGGCAGGGGCAGAAGTTGGAAGAACTTATCCCACAATTCTATTCACGTCTTGTGAATAAAAATGTATGTATCAACATTTAAACTGACTAGGGTGAAACAAAAACAACAATTAACTTGCACAGCTAAACACAATTTCTACTTTGGTTGGTATAATGTTGTTTGCATTGTTCATGTGAGAAACTGAAAACACATTTAAATCACACAAAAAAAATTCTAATGCCCCAAAAGTCCATACAAAACTTACATCAGAACATGTATCAGGAACCATTCTGATGTCACCAAAACAGTGACAGCTGATGTCACACATGCCAAATACATTAGAACTGTGAAAAAGTGTTTGCCACTGATATGTTAATCTCCCAATGTAGTCTGTCATTAAATGTGAAGACATTGGGTACAACAGTGCATGAGATATCACATTAACAACAGTTTGAAAAGTGGTCACGGTTTCGTGGTGACCTTGAAAAAAGGTCAAGGTCACACAAAGGAAACAGTGTCTGCGTAATCTCCTAATATAGGCTGTCACCAAATTTGAAGACATTGAGTACAACAGTTCATGAGATATTGCGTTTACAAGAGTTTCAAAAGTGGTCCAATTGTCGTGGTGACCTTGAAAATAAGGTCAAGGTCACCCAAATCGACTGGTGTCTGGGTAATCCCCTATGTAGGCTGTCACCAAATTTGAAGACATTGGGTACAACAGATGTACGTACGTACGGGCGCCGCTGAATACATAGTCCCCTGTTCCGCGTTGCGGCGGGGGACAAAAAGCATGTGCCTATGGCTGAAATACTAATCTGGAATATTTTGTGTTCGTATCTGTATGTGTACAATAAGCATGTATCTGAATTAATAAGATAATTAGATTTCATGGTAATACACATACAACAAAGCACTGTTCTGGTCACTGATCCTTCAACGTTTTGAGACACTGTTCTTGACTCACCTCACGGAACCAGTTCAGGCTGTGGAAGAGAGTGGTGCAGATCACATCTTTCTCCTTGTGAGACAGGGACTCGTACTTCTCGTACACCTCCTCCTTGACTGTATACAGGGGGCAGCCTAACACAAACACATGGTTGTCAGTACAGACTACAGTGAGACTCGTGACACCTCCCTCCTTGACTGTACACACCTTCCAGACTACAGTTCGTACACCTCTCCTTGACTGTATACAGGGGGCAGCCTACCAAACACATGGGTTGTCGACCAGACTACACCTCCATTACACCTCCTCCTTGACTGTATACAGGGGCAGCCTACCACAAACACATGGTTGTCAATTACTACAGGTCTTGGAGACCACATTCTGTTGACTTACAATGCCTTGGCACCTCTTTTGTCCAAAATTCCTAGTTACTCATGCACCAGATCTCGCTCTGTTTTCTTTTCACACAGTTACTCATACATCACACAAGGTTGTTATGACCACTCATCCTAGTTACTCATGCACCACTTCCTAGTTACTCATGCACCACTTCCTATTACTCGCATGCACCACTTCCTAAGTTACTCATTCCTAGTTACTCATGCACCACTTCCTAGTTACTCACTACACCACTTCCAAGTTACTCATGCACCACTTCCTAGTTACTCATGCACCACTTCCTAGTTACTCATGCACCACTTCCTAGTTACTCATACCACTTCCTAGTTACTCATACACCACTTCCTAGTTACTCATGCACCACACCACTTCCTAGTTACTCATAGTTACTCATGCACCACTTCCTAGTTACTCATGCACCACTTCCTAGTTACACCACTTCATACACCACTTCCTAGTTACTCATACACCACTAGTTACTCACACACCACTTCCTAGTTACTTCCTAGTTATGCACCACACACCACTTCCCTAGTTACTCATTTCCTTACTCATGCACCACTCATGCACCGCACCACTTCCTAGTTACTCATACACCACTTCCTAGTTACTCATACACCACTTCTAGTTACTCACACACACCCTAGTTACTCATGCTGCCACTTCCTAGTTACTACGCTCTCCTAGCTCATGCACCACTTCCTAGTTACTCATGCACCACTTCCTAGTTACTCATACACCACTTCCTAGTTACTCATACACCACTTCCTAGTTACTCATACACCACTTCCTAGTTACTCATGCACCACTTCCTAGTTACTCATGCACCACTTCCTAGTTACTCATACACCACTTCCTAGTTACTCATACACCACTTCCTAGTTACTCATGCACCACTTCCTAGTTACTCATACACCACTTCCTAGTTACTCATGCACCACTTCCTAGTTACTCATGCACCACTTCCTAGTTACTCATACACCACTTCCTAGTTACTCATACACCACTTCCTAGTTACTCATACACCACTTCCTAGTTACTCATGCACCACTTCCTAGTTACTCATACACCACTTCCTAGTTACTCATGCACCACTTCCTAGTTACTCATACACCACTTCCTAGTTACTCATACACCACTTCCTAGTTACTCATACACCACTTCCTAGTTACTCATCCACTTCCTAGTTACTAGTTACTCATGCACCACTTCCTAGTTACTCATACACCACTTCCCTAGTTACTCATACACCACTTCCTAGTTACTCATACCTAGTTACCACACCACTTCCTAGTTACTCATGCACCACTTCCTAGTTACTCATACACCACTTCCTAGTTACTCATAAAGCTACCCTAGGGTACTTCCTAGTACCACTTCCTAGTTACTCATGCACCACTTCCTAGTTACTCATACACCACTTCCTAGTTACTCATACACCACTTCCTAGTTACTCATGCACCACTTCCTAGTTACTCATGCACCACTTCCTAGTTACTCATAGTGGACTCATATACTTCCTAGTTACTCATAGTTGTAATACACTTCCTAGTTACTCATGCACCACTTCCTAGTTCTTATTGGATACCCATGTTTTGGCACAAACTGTTCATGTTCCTAGTTACTCATACACCACTTCTAAAGCACCACTTCCTAGTTACTCATGCACCACTTCCTAGTTACTCATACACCACTTCCTAGTTACTCATACACCACTGTCCTAGTTACACACACCACTTCCTAGTTACTCATAACTAATCACTTCCTAGTTACTCATGCACCACTTCCTAGGTAACTCTATCTTGTCTCATACACGAGAGTGCTCCCCCTTTGTTTAGTTGTCATAGCCACTCCATATTTTAAATCTTACATTGACAATAACAGTTTTGTGAAAATTTTGCCGATTTTCATTAAATTTAAACAGCTTTAGCATCGAAATACACACAAATATTCAGTCATATGGCATGAACATACCACACATCGTATCCAGACAGGTCACACTACAGTTATTATTCACATCTTGACCTTCACCTTCACGTATCATCATTGTTACACTGACATTTATTGTTGTTCAGTTGTTGCCACATGAAGATCTGAGTTAGAATTGATCTTCAGCAACCCATGCTTGTCGTAAGAGGCGACTATCACGTGGTCAGACATACTGACTTTGATGATGCATGTCATCTTATCCCAATTGTGTGGTTCGATGTTCATGATGTCAATCACTGGATTGTCTGGTTTTCTTTACAGACCACCACCACACATCTAGAATATTGCTGCAAGTGGCAATAAATAACAAACAAACAAAACTGACAGTTGTTACTGAGATTTATATACACATCCTGCACTTACTGTTGAATGAAGCTTTCTTCCACGTCCACCACAAAATCATCCTGGAAATCTGCTATCATGTTCTCAGAAATCCAGTTCTGAAATAGGAATGCCGCCACTCAGGTCTTTGACACACAAAGAAACAAAGAATAGGTGTGAATCACAGGATTTAAAGTTGGGAATGTGGGCCTATGGCTACAGCACATACCATCTATTGCCTCCATTTATACATATAAGCAGGATAAGAGCTACTGACATCTTATTCCTGGTTCATGAACTGAGATGCTTATATGTTCTTATTATGTTTAATTCATGTCACACTGACAGCAGAACATATTAAATTACAAATTTGTGGGACAAATGTGCAACTTGGTTCTGTGTGGTGCAACTTGGTTTTCATGTCTCATGTACGGGTGCAAGTCAAATAAAGTCAAATTGAGCCCTGCATGTTCTGATATAAGTCTGAACCCACTGATGTGACGATAACCTGTAACCTACCACAACTTTGGGGTCGACATTGCCTTTACTGATGACAGACGACAGTTCATCCAGAAACAAGCAGGTGGCCTCGGGGCTCCCGTTGCTACTGGTTCGAACCAGTTGCAGCAGGTGCAACACCTCCTTCAGCTTGTCATCACTGATGGTGCTCACAGACTGCTCGGAGCTGCAAGAGAAACAGACTGATAATGTTGTATGTTGGCTACCTCGACAAATTTAAACAAACAAACGAAACTGTATTGTATTAGAAAGACAACCAAATTTCATGTTGGGAATGTTGTATTATTCTTGAAGCTCAAAAAAGTCTAAACATTGCTGGTACATCAGGAGTGTTATATTATGTGATGATGATGATGATGAGTCAAAGAGACAATATGTCCTAGTACTAGTCACTAGTATTACTAATTCAAATTTCATTCTCAGCTCCCTGGGAGTATACCACAACAACTCCCCTATAAGGTTCTAGGGTTTCCATCACAATCTAATCCTGCCGTACTTCTGCCATTAATGTTGGATCATTAATGTTGGACTCTTCTAAACTACCATGATGATGGTAGAGAAACACAGAAGATGGGGATGAGTGAGTGAGTGAGTTTAGTTTTACGCCGCACTCAGCAATATTCCAACCATATGGCAGCGGTCTGTAAATAATCGAGTCTGGACCAGACAATCCAGTGATAAACATCAGGAGCATCAATATGCGCAACTGGGAACCGATGACATGTGTCAACCAAGTCAGCGAGTCTGACCACCCGATCCCGCTAGTTGCCTCTTACGACAAGCATGAAGATCTGTATTCTAACCCAGACCTTCACGGGTCAGATGTGGATGAAAATCTGTGGTTCAGAATGCATGAACTACACTTAACTTTCATATAGATTAGATGAAAGGGTAAGCACTAATTGACACTACAATCAGCACTATAACAATGGCTTATCGATAGATCTAGACAAACCAGTGGTTGATACCGTGAGCATCAATCCATGATGCCCACAGTACCCTTGCATGGCGGGTCTAAACTCCACTCTGTGTACACTTACGGGATGTATGATGATGTAGATCCTTTAAACCGTTTGTCACTATTCCTACCAATACTAGTACATGACAAACCAGTGGTTGATACCATGACCATCAATCCCTGCTGGCAACAACACCAGTCAACACAACCACCCAACCCCACTCTGTGTACACTTACGGGATGTCTGCAATACTCTTGACAACCATGATGGCGCCGATCACTCCCATGCGTTTATACCTGAAAAGAACATGACAAGAAAGTTAAATTAACACAGCAACCACAATCAACGTGACATCATGGCATGGAGCCGATTCTCAACACACAATTTGCCAGTACCTACAATTGTAGCCTAGGATTGAATCTCAGATTTGCTCTAATATCAGCGACACACCAATGCTCCTGGGTGTGATCAAAATCGAAAAGTCATACACCCACACAATGCTGACACTGTAAGATAGATTTTGTTTGTCGTGTATTGCTGTATATATTCCAGCTATATGACACCAGTCTGTAAATAATCGAGTCTGGGCCAAACAATCCAGTGATCGAAAGCATGAGCATCAATACACAATTGGGATATGATGACACGTGTCAACTAAGACAGCAAGTCTGACACTCCTCCAAGATAGGACTGAAACAGTGTTCTAACCTCCCAATCCATTTACAATATCAGCTACAAGAAACATCTGGGATTAGCCACGTTTCACTCACTTGAGGCTGCTGTTGTACAACTGTTTCCTGATGATGATATGAAGGTCATCCTGGAATTGTGGAAAGACTTATATTGACTTGGAATAATCAACACATGTAGGTACGTGTTTTGAATAACATTTTTCATTAGTAGGCACTTCATCACCAGTTCAGTATTTGTAGAGTTGAGAATATTCTGGACATATACTGAAGGACAATTTGTTAGCAATTCAGGATATATAGAGCTGATAATATTCAGGACATTAGCAATTCAGGATATATAGAGCTGATCATATTCAGGACATTAGCAATTCAGGATATATAGACTTGAGAATATTCAGGACATTATCACTTCAGGATATATAGACTTGAGAATATTCAGGACATATACAGAAGGGTACTTAAATTACATTTGTGACTTCATTTCATTGTCTGCTCGCTCCATTACTATTCAGGAATGGAGTGATGTGTACCAATTTTATATTAAAGACTTCATTTTATCATTTTGACACTTAAGTTTGTTAACAGAAATATTCCCAATACTTTGAATGTAATTTAAGTAGGGTAATATCCTCGTAACTCTCCGGGGCCTCTGCTCCATTATTTTTAAGGAATGGAGAGTTACTTGGACATTCCCCTCTACTTTATTATCAATTCAGGATATATAGACTTGAGATAGACTTGAGAATATTCAGGATATATACTGGGGGGTACTTCATTATCAATTAGGGATATGTTGATATGTCATGATATTCAGGATATGTATTGGTGGGATATCAAATCAGCATATGTAAAAGTTTGTAAATAATGACCTGTATAAGTCCACCATCATCTGGGTTGTGGAAAGCTAGACGGCTCAACATGGCATAAAGTTTACGGATCTGCGTCATTGAACGGTTGTCAAAGTAGTCAAGAAATCCCTGAAATTACACAAAGAATGGTTTAGGCATTTGTTTGAATGTAACATATATATTTCAACAGCAGGTGTATAAATTAACACATATTCAGATAGTACCAGGGTATATTTTCAGACATTTGTAGTTTCCTATAGTCCGTTTGGCTCAAAAGCGGACCGATGAATTGCAATCTAACTCGAAAACTAATAAACATAAAATACTCAATGAAACACTGATCATAATCAAAACGTCAGACCAACTCTGTGAGGTTTTTGCAGAATTTATGTCCTGAAAATAAAAAAGTTGTTTAACAAACTATCATTAAAATATTGACACAGTTCACTATTTGTTACAAGGGAGGAGTGCAGAGAAAGGGACAGCCAGGTGTGCGAGAAAGGATGGAGACGGCACAGCACAAGTTAATGAATCAATAACTTTGTCGGCACTTGTGCATGTGCTTCTCTAACACCTGGTTGTCCCTTTTCTCTGCACTCCTTCCTCTTAACAAATAGTGAACTGTGTCAATATTTTAATGATAGTTTTTTAAACAACCTTTTTAATTTTAGGACATAAATTCTGCAAACAAATCACAGAGTTGTTCTGATGTTTTGATTATGATCAGCGTTTCATTGAGTATTATATGTTTATTAGTTTTCGAGTTAGATTGCAGTTCATCGGTCCACTTTTTCACCAAACGCACTATAAAAGTTTATGTTAGATACTGTTTTCATTACTTGATATTTCAAAACTTATCTATCAAGTGAGAGCAAGATACATTTTGAAATTCACTGTTAACAGTTCAGTATTTACTGAGACTAATGGTAGTAATAATTCAGCCATAGGCTGTTCTCTGTAACCTGGCCATTAATGGAACAGCTAGCCCAGATGATTTCATTGGGAACAGTCCAGATTAAAGAGGTTTCACAGTTTCAAGCTGTCTCTTCTACCTTGACAAAGATGGCGAAGGGGGCCATGCTGGAGAGGTGGTGGTGTACCAAGTCAGAGAGAATGTCCAAAGAGCTGTCGATCTCACCCGCAAAACCACTCCCGATGTGTGTCACCAGGTTCCCGACAATCTCCTGCAGAGGAAACACACATAGTTAGATCCACATATGATCATCAATGTTTTTGAAAAATAAAAATATCAGTGGGTCTCTGTTTGATGAGTACTTACAGTTTGGAATGAGTTACCTCCCCTTGGACAACACATTGAAAAGTACTCCCCAGTACTGTTTTGCTTCAAACATCATATATACTTACACAAAAATTTATTTTCACAACATTTGTGAATAAATGCAGCTAAACCAGGAATTTTTAAAATCCCCTGAAGTTCAAATTGTGGTTACTTGCTTCTTCTGTTAAAGCGTGCAGATACAATGTGACATCAGCACCTCACCATAGACATGTGGCTATTGATAGCTTTGAAGGCTATGATTACCTGTTTACAGTAGCTGTCGAACACAGCGAAGGCATGTCGATACATAGCAGAGGCAAAGTAGCTGATCCCTGGCTCTGGGGATCTCAGTAACACCTCGGCTAGAGACAACACAGACGGGAAGTACCCACGGAGGATCTGGAGATGACAGTACGCATGTACACAGGAACAGGACATCTCATACTGGTTATCAGGAACGTGACCACTAGCAGTGTACCCCTAGCAACATGGGATAATGTATCCCATATGTTGAAGTTGTAATGGGATGAGGTGTTGTTTGAAAACACAAACCCTCCAGCAGTGAAAAGCCCGAAGGACAAAGATTCTTCCCTCACTCAAGGTATTACATTTAACCCGAAACCTAGGAGTGTTATTTTAACTTATTTACGAACAATCTAATGTTAGAAATGCCAGAAAGATCAAGAAATCAACATTATACATTGCCGTGAATTCAAAACTATACATTATACAACAAAAATACCGAAAAACATGTGCAGCATGCATACAACATTTGATGCATATTAAAAGGCTGTTTATTCAATTTATCAGTAAAGGCTAGGTTGTACAATCCAAATGGAAAACCTCTTGCCAGGTCATACAATTCAAATGTAACATTGACAGTTTATACCAAGGAATCAACATTGTCAATACTTTGGGGCCCATTCAACATAGGGGTTACATTCAGACATAAATCTAAAAACAAAATATGGAATAATGTAGGTTATTAGAATATTCCCATACACTGACAAAGAACTGCATGGCTGTCAAACGGCAGCACTGCCTGCCCCTGATTCAGTACAGAGTAACATCCACACAACAACTTCTGTGCTCAGTTACATCAAGGAAAACATCACGGGATGCAGGTCTCAGATGTTTAACGTTACCATAACCCACCTGAGCATGGTCAGTGAAAGCGGACTGCAGCAGAGGCTCAGTAAACGCTCCAGAACGGATCTTGTTCCTGAAGAGACTCTCCACTGGCTTCTTTCGGTTTGTTGAGTGTAGGATCAGCAGAACAAAGATGTCAATCACCTTGTGATCCGCTGGGTCCTTCAGGTTGTCAATCGCCTGAAATATACAACAAACAAGCCTGCAATCTCAAACTGGGTGTGGTTACTTCTACTACACAAAACAGCCAGCTAACTCTCAGTTACTGGAACCTACATATGTATCTACAGATATCTTATGGGTGTGCAGGGCTGCAACGATTCGATTCAATTCATCGAAAATCAAATCTGACACATTAGTTTCAATTTTTGATAACCACTATCACTATTTTGATTTGATATTTGAAGATCTATTTCAATTGTTTCCACACAGCGAGAACATAATGTTTAATCCAACTCTAGCAGTTTTGAGCGCTGAATAAGGCAAAGCATGAGTTGTTGCCGGGCTATTTATCCAATGTACATTGTCGTTAGTAGACATCGCCAAGTTCACAATGGATTTCACGCTAAAATGCCAACTCACTTAAACTCGGAGAGTTAAATGAAATCTGATGTTTTTACTTGTATGAAGAATCAAAATGATCAAGGGTCCAATATCGAAATTCAAATCAAATTGAGGTCTGGGTGAATTGTTGCAACCCTATGGGTGCGACATATGCATTCTTAGCCAGAACATGACTAGATGCAAATCTGAAGCAACCTGAGACAGCATGTTAAACTGGATAACTTTGAAGTATCTACTCACTGGTTTGAAGAAGATCTAAAAGATCAAGGAAGTAAAATCATATTGAAAAAAGAAAGAAAGAAAATTAAAAAATACCAAATGAAAATATTACAAGAGCATGAACTCAACATTCTTAATGGTAACAAAACATATCTGAAACACTCAGTCACAAATTTCTCCCTGGCAATTCCATTGCTGAGTACATCAAATTATTACAGATAATGTTAACTATCAGGTCTGGGCCAGGTACACCGATGGTTTGCAGCATCAGCCGTGATCCACATCATCCCGGGACAATGCCACACATTCATCCACCTCACACACTGCAAGCACCATATTCTCATTAGTCGGCTCTCATTACAATCACAGAACACCTCTACCAGGGATCTACCTCACACACTGCAAGCACCATATTCTCATTAGTCGGCTCTCATTACAATCACAGAACACCTCTACCAGGGATCTACCTCACACACTGCAAGCACCATATTCTCATTAGTCGGCTCTCATTACAATCACAGAACACCTCTACCAGGGATCTACCTCACACACTGCAAGCACCATATTCTCATTAGTCGGCTCTCATTACAATCACAGGACACCTCTACCAGGGATCTACCTCACACACTGCAAGCACCATATTCTCATTAGTCGGCACTCATTACTATCACAGGACACCTCCACCAGGGATCTACCTCAGATACAGAACTATGTGGCAAATTGGGAAAATGATTAAGATATAGTTCATTATTGGATTAAATTTTCGTATTTTGCTAAACCAGGAATAGGGAATATTTTAATGCAAATTAGGAGTTTGTACTGCCATTTGCTGCGGACTTGGGTCTGAATATCCCCTTCTGAGCAGGTCAAGATGACTTCCCACACACTGACCGAGAACCCTAGCGCATCACTAGTATTATATACTTGTGAGATGCAACCACCACATCACTGGTAGATCAGCCCTTGCGACTAACATTGCAGTGGTCACCAACACAGAGACAGAATCCTCACAGGTCCCTAGTATCACATGCTTATTGTAAGAGTCAATGAAAATGGGGACAGTTGTCTTGTCATCTGTCAGAAAGTTTTTCACTGTATACCAACATCGAAGATCACCATTAGCTCATGCTGACTAAATACACAATCCACATGCTTACCGAGCTTATCTTAATCATCCAACTACAGACTACCAAGGAAACAGGGAGATATGCTCACCATATTTACCACAGGTTTGTATCTCACTGTACCTCCAAACATTCCCTGAAATATGCAACACAACATGTCATATACGGCATTACCTTTATCCAGGCTTCAGACACGGTTTTCTGGAAGCGAATCCCAGACTTGATGGCATCCAATGTCAGCGCTTCGTTCCCCTTCTCTACGCTGTCATCAGAGGCTGTCCTACAACACAGCACAACAGGAAGGGTCAGCTGTGTCTTACAAGTGATTACAGACACCATAACACATCCGTCCCTTCTCCACCAATCCTCATTCAACATGTGTATTTCATGTGATCAACACCTTGGACAATAAACCACCACAGCTACTCTCTTAAATAACTTATGGCATAGAAATTCTCCTTGTCATGAGTAACCAATGCTCACCATTCACATTACTTGCCTCTGATGTAAGAGTTATCTCCCCTTTCCCAGGTGTTGGCATTGCTTGTTTGTCATTAATTTTAATCAGTTTTTATGAAAACTAGTAAGCATCATTGTCAAAATGTACGTAGGACTCAAGCAAGTACTACTTGAAAATGATCCTTTTCATCATGATTAAGTTGTTTCAGTCTTGGATGAAGACATACCTGGTACATATTTGGGTCTTAGCTCGATAAAGAGGACATATCTCACCGTTTCTTTGTCTTGTCTTTTTTAATGGATTTGCCTTGGGCAGCAGGTAAGGGTTTAAAATCAATGCTTGCTCGAATTTCCGTAACAATCTGTTGAAAGATTGAAAAATGGATGTGAATTCACTTTGCAATATATCCAAACCTTGTGAAACTAGATATGAATATTCATAATCAATATATTAAGTAAGCCCTGAATAATTTGGTGTGTGCCTGCTCACAAATAAACATGTCTGTTAAACCTAGTGAATCCAACAGCATGATTATCTTCACATAACTGAACACAGCTGCTGCGTCTTCCAAATCCTATGGTGTGACTGCCTGCATACAACTGAACACTTGTTTTACATCTAGTGAATCCTACAGCATGACTATCTCCACATCACTGAACACAGCTGCTGCCTCTTCCAAATCCTATGGTGTGACTGTCCATACAACTGAACACTTGTTTTACATCTAGTGAATCCAACAGCATGATTATCTTCACATAACTGAACACAGCTGCTGCGTCTTCCAAATCCTATGGTGTGACTGCCTGCATACAACTGAACACTTGTTTTACATCTAGTGAATCCTACAGCATGACTATCTCCACACAGCCAAACATGTCTGCTACCTCTAATGAATCCTGCGGTGTGACTGTCTGGAGCAGAAACTTGACCACCACTGGCAGATCATCCATCTCGACAGAGGACAAGGTCTGCAGGACAGACCCTCGCACCTACAAAAACAAACACCATACTGAGAACAGGTATGAGTGAGTGAGTGAGTTTAGTTTTAAGCCACACTCAGCAATATTCTAGCTATATGGTGGCAGTTTGTAAATAATCGAGTCTGGACCAGACAATCCAGTGATCAACAGCATGGGCATCGATCTGCGCAATTGGGAACCGATGATATGTGTCAACCAAGTCAGTGAGCCCGATTACCCAATCCTTAGTCGTCTCTTACAACAAGCATGGGTTACTGATGATCAATATTCTAGCCCGGACCTTCACGGGTCGAGAACAGGTATGAAGTTATTTTTTACATATAATTTAAACAGATTCAAAATTTAAATACATTTTATAAAAGAGTTTGTGTGTTCCTTGAGTCATGATTCAATCACAGATCAAGTTTATTATTATCGAGTATATTGATTTAAATATTTCATGTAATACTTGAAGGGAATGAAATGAAATCTTTTAATTCTGTCAGTAAAATGTTCCAGCTATACCACAGGAGTCTGTAATTACTGGGGTCTCACTCTGACAAACCAGTGACTGACAGCATGAGCAACCATCCACTCCATCAGGATACAGTGACACACAGTCAGTCACAGAGCCTGATCATCAGTTCGTCGCTCTTCCCAGGACAGATACTGGGTATCTTTTCTTCCCTGTATCTCAAAGAGAGTTTAATTTTTGGTAAATTTCGTCATTTTATAATTGGAAGCCATACCTCAGCTAGAAGTTCTGGTTTTAAGGCCAGGTTGGATAAGGCATCAAGAATTGGAACTGTCATCCGGTTGCCTTGTAGAAGAATATCACTGAAAGTATCAACATTTAACCATGAAGATATCATAATCTTACATCTCAACAATCTCACTTATCCTTAAATATTGTCCCCATTAGCAACATTTTGAATGTTTGATACAAACACAGAATCTAAACATTTTGAGTTTAAATATTTACAGTCGACAGTAACTGGTCTGAACCCTAGTCCCCATATAATTCTGATAAAACAATGCAAACAGACAAATTAGGGCAAATTGACTATTTACGTATTCAGTATTCTCTGATATGTGCTGAAGCGATGTTTCCATTCAGGTGTAAATATACTTGTCCACAGGTAAGGAAGCACTTGAAATAAGCCAAATAACACTACATTTGATATTTTGGACAGATTGGGTCAACTTTTCTGGTACAAGGCTTATTTAACACGTAAATTACTGTCAATTGTGAATGGACAGAAGTACTTAAGGAGTGGGAATCTTCACTAAATGTCCAGGGTAGAACTCCTACCTGAGAGCTTTAGCCACATCGCCATGTTCAGTGTCTTCCACCACCTCAGGCAGACACAGGATTATCTCCCTTTGTACATCAGGCGAGCTGATGTCTATCATTTCTAACATCTTAGTAGTCAGCTCCTGAAAATGAAAAGAATTGAAGATCAATTTTAAACAAAGAGTGAAATAATCAGTATCATATATATCAAGATAAAAATATCATTGTATACATTATTTTACATTTTAATAGAAGAAATAGGAAATATTCACAAAACACTGTTATAATTTCAATCTGTTCTCTTCAGTTGGATTCTGAAGCATTGGTAACTGAACTAAAGATTTATCTAAGATTATTAGATATTATCAGATTATTCCCCTTTGTAGGCAAAACTGGGAATATATTGTGATATTGTTACAACTGAATATTCTTAATCTTCCGGGTTGGGTGTTTATATCCTGATAATTCGGAAATTCTTTATTCATTTCTCTAAACAACTGTTAGAAGATCAGCACGGTAGTAGGAGCATTGTTAAATAATCTTCCATTAGTTTGTAACACAAAGAGACACTAGATTCAGATCAAAACAGACAGCATAAGATAGAATCAAGCAACATCAAAGTTTATAGTGTCTGTTACTTACAGAGACAATGTCTCAATGTCACACGTCACCAACTATGTGTAGATCGGGACTGGAGTTAAAGTACTGTCAGAAATAGAAAAAAAACTGTTTTTTCACATTTAAATCCACAATTTATGTAGTTAATATGTGAAAGTGTGAAATATCTGTTAAACTAAGTTCGGCCTAACTACAGTCTCAGTGGTAGGGAGATAGGAAACGTAGAAAAATGACTTTACTGAGGAGAGATTAGTGCAGAAATGTGCATTTAGGGTTTTTTTCTAAGACCAAGTCGACTTATTTGGAACAGACCTCGGCTTTATGCAAATTAGTGTGTGATGATATTGTATTACACAGGACACTTTTTAAATGTCCACCTTGAAATTAGACTTAGCTTCATTAGAAATGATAGCTGCCGTACAAAATAATATTTTGACTTGTGAAACTGTTAAAGATGTAGCTACCATGGAGTCTCACTGCCACTATAAAACAGACACGGGGAGTCTCAAAAAGCAAAACCAGGTCGGGTGTCGCAGACGATTTGAGGCTGGGGATAAAGATATCAGCTAAGACCTTTAGGGGAATTAAACTGGGGCATATAACAATTTACATAAATATCCTGTCATGTCGATCTTCACCATGGAGACATTTAATACGATGGCTGATTTAAGCCTTTCTATGGGTATCATACTGTTTTACAAATCTCAACATAAACTCTATGTAAAAAAGACACGTTAGATGTTCATCAATATTTGAGACATATTCAACACACAAGAAAACACATAGTATATCTTTGAGATGACCCCTTATGCCTGTAGGCAGCACGTGCATTTCATGCTCGGTGTGTCGACGGTCCGTCATCATACCTGGCCAAGCGACCTAATTGTCATCTATAGTCTGATCTATTGTTTTAAGCAGCTATTCGTATCTTTTCTAAGTTTTGCCCGATTTTACAAGTAACCATGCTTTTCTGGATATCCTATTATGCTTCACACTAAACGCCCAGTGGGTTATTTTGACATATGCTATTTGCAATTGTGTAAATTTTAGGGATACAGAGTAACAGCCAAAAAACAAGTTTTTTTTCTATTTCTGACAGTACTTAAGTTGTACACATTTCCACTGAAATATACAGCATGAGGCAGTGACAAACAACATGTTATTTATAGCTGTCAGTTTGTTATAAGCATGTTTGTATATACATAGCTTACTGTACTTACACAAGTTATAGAAGAACCAAGCCCTACCTTACAGTTGACGATTCTGTCCAGCCACCGGAACTGACTGAGGAGGACCCGCGGGATGAATATCTTCTCTCCATTCTCAAACAAAAAACTGTAATAGGACAGAGTGAATAAAATAAAGGAGCATACAACTTTGTGCATAAAACTTCTTGCTTATTGTATAGAGCAACATTTTGATGTATTCTTACACCGTTATAAAACATAGTTCCATGCAATACACAAGGCGCTGTTGTCATTAGTTACAGGTATCTGCCTCCTTACTCACTCAATAACTTCCGGAATGCCAAACAATCAATCACCGTCATTAGAAGTGGAACTTTTGGAAGCCAAGAATTGGAAGGATCTTGAATAATTATCTTCTCAATACAGAAACACTAGATTTTTGGACAAAATGATCTAACACTGGGATCATTCAATTACACATACCGCTCTCAAGCACTTGAGTACGTTTAATAAACATGACATGTTATAGTTTGGATTACACTTTCTCAGTTACAAATGTTTTATTTGATTAACAGTTGGAATACTTTGGTGGGAGAAAGCTGTATAATGACAGTTCCTATCAGCACCGACTCAACAGTTGAAACAAATCAAAGATTTTGGCTTTTGAAAATATGTAGGCAGTATTCAAATAAACTATTAAAATACTCGTTCCTGATTTCCAGTTTTTGATGATTCCTCATCAAACCATGAAGAGATTTTCAAGGGTGTACGCACAGTAAAATACATACATGTATATTCTCATTGTAAATGTATTAAGACTTTTTCAAAACCTGACAACTGAAAACACCATTCTTGCCAAAGTCCACAGAGTTTGGTAAAAACTGTGCTACACAGTGACTGGACACTAGGGATGTCACGATACATAAGTTTCATGAATCGATACGTATCACGATACCCATGTCACGATTGGAAACGTATCACAATAACTATTTTCATGGCATTATTGTGTAAATTTAGTTACATTTTGAACATTAATATTTCATATTTTATAATTGTCCATGAAAAGATCAACATTTTTGATTCTCAGAATAAGTTCTAATTTCCCATCTCTGTGCATGAAAAATAATCATTTATAACTCTCATAACATCAAAAAAACATGATACAATAGCAAAATGTAAACGATGCATAAACATATTTAAACCGATACTTTCAAAACTAAATATCGATACAGTTTTGAATGTATTGATAATTGTATCATCTTAGAAAAAGTATCGATGTATCGATGTATCGTGGCATCCCTACTGGACACAACATGCTCACTCCTCATCCCCCATGAACAGCGGAAGCTTCTCCAGCAGCAGCTTCATCACCTTCGACTGCAACATCAACATCAGATCTTACACTCAGCACTGCTACTAAAAGTGCTGTTCATTAGGGCTATTCTGTTTTATTTGATTTAGATTTGCATTAGAATTCCATTTGCCTGGTCTCCATTACACAAAGCAATCTTATTTGTAAGTATATGTTAAAGTATGGGAGATACGATCCCTTTAGCGCTGAGATCATTTTGTGAACAGGACCCAGTTTAGCATATATATATTGCTGTCATCAGCATTCCACTAAAAACATATCAGGGATAGAAATACTTTTTTTTCTAAGTGTGCCTTAGGGCACCAGGCAAATATTTTAGGTGTGCCTTTCAGAAATCAAGTGTGCCCACATGTTTTTAGAATAAATGACTGTAGCAAGGATGATGATCTTTTGAAATTTATTGTCAGAAAACAACAAATGTAACCAGTTTTCTGTTATCACTGATATGTCTTCTGTTTAAGCTGGCTTTCTTATGTTTCATTTGTTATGCTTTCACAACACCTTTAATAGCTTGCGCCTCCGTGGTGTAGTGGTTAGAGCGTCCGCCCGGAGAGCGGAAGGTCGCCGGTTCGACATATACACGCATGCACGTCGTCATATGAGCGAAATATTCTCAAGCACGACGTTAAACCCAATTTCACCTCACCTCACCTTTAATAGCTAAGAATTGTGTTTTTGCTTGTTTGTCATTTGCATAAGTGTTTTGTTTGGTTATTTAATGACTAAAGGTCTGTTATGTCCCTGAAAAATTAGGTGTGCCATAAGGGCACCGAGAACATTTTTTATCCGTGCCATTTTGATATTTACTGTGCCATGGCACACTAATATATGGGGCATTTCGAACCCTGCATATGAAGAGGTGCTCCCATAGAAGTGTCATAATCTGATGATGAAATATCTGTTAATGTGTGAAATTATCAAGCATACCAACCTGCAAAATATCAATTCCTAAAAGAATTTTAACCATGCTGTCTTGTACAGGATATCTCGCACTGAAAGTACAAAAAGCATTATCACAGAAATCATGTATTATCTTGTGAAACCTTTTCCTCACTATACAATGACTTCAATAAATGTCATCAATGAAAACATATTCTGCAGTGGAACAGGGAAGTATCAATACCACTGTTTACAATTTGTGAAACCTTGATAAGTATCTACACCGACCCACCTGTCACACTCCTTCGCTGTGTGTGTCGCCATGACACTCTTGCTCAATCTGAAAGCAAACAGTCAGTTGATAGTAGATCACATTCATCATGAGCGGTGTCTGTTTTTGTTTGTTTTTTAACACCGTACTCAACAATATTCCAGCTACATGATCTATAAATAATCGAGTCTGGCTAAGACAGTCCCGTGGTTGACATCATGACCACCAACCTCTACAAATACGATGACATGTATCAACCACGTCAGCGAGCATGACCACCTGATCCCGTATATCGCATCTTATGACAAGCATGGGTTGCTGAAGACCAATCCTAGCCTTCTGGAGCAGTCTTCACAGGCCCATCAGTGGTGCAGAAGAAAGAAACTGGACTCTCACATTCTCTTCCCACAGAGGTTACTTGTCATATCTACCCATGAAGGTCCGGGTTAGAATGAACCTTCAGTAACCCATGCTTGTCGTAAGAGGCGACTATCAGGATCAGGTGGGTCAGGCTTGCTGACTTGGTTGACACATGTCATCGGTTCCCAACTGCTAGATCGACGCTCATGCTGTTGATCACTTGATTGTCTGGTCCAGACTCAATTATTTACAGACCGCCGCCATATAGCTGGAATATTGCTGAGTGCGACGTAAAACTAAACTCACTCACTCACTCACTTGTCATATCTTCATACGAACCTCTGTTCTAATATGGCCCCTTTATGGTGCGAGTGTTCAGCATACGTGATTGGTTGCAATCAGATTTAGTTTAGTCAGCGACGCCGTTGTTTCAAAAGTGATCATTAGCAAGGCCTCAATAATTTCTGTATGCTTCGAGAAAGCTAGTCATGTAATGGCAGATCAATGGCGTCTCCATCGCCCTCGTTGACAACGGACACGATAGCCATTAAATGATATTTGTGGCCCCATATTTGCTTGCATTAGCTGGATCTAAGTCGATGTAACACGTGTTCTGAATTGATAGAAAGAAGGGAGATAACTTGTGTTGCAATTTTTTGCCGCTAGGGGATTGTGGCCATATTAGAACAGAGGTTCGTAGGAAGATATGACAAGTAACCTCTGTGGAAAGAGAATGTTTCAACATGTAGAAGTGAGTAGGATGAGTTTAATATTGCTTTGATCAGAAGTGACATCAAGACATGGAAGCTCGATGTAGGAGGAAAGTCCAAGGTGATGCAGGTCCCAGACATGTACCATTTTGGTGAAACCCACAAGCACGGGAATGGTGCTAACAAACCCGGAAAAATAATCAAGGTGAACCAGGATTTGAACACAGTCACAAGTTCCTGGCATGACCAAGGGACACAACTCTGTATATGAAATAGCAGTGCTTTAGATGACCGAGCCACACATACCCCAAAGTCTAAACATGACTATTCCACATATCTTGATACGGTAGTTTGTCTTATATCTCCATGGCAACAGTTTATTGGCAATTCATAGATTCACTTGTAACATTAGCCTTTCAGTGGTAACAATTCTGAACAAGTTCATCATGTATGTAAACTGGATTTTTCTTATATAAAGTTTTGTAGACCAATCGTATTTCACTACTTGTACGTAATTTACTGCCTGTAACATGATTCGCTGTTTGGATCACTAATTACTAGTTATTGCAACATCTGTATAAAGTATATGTATAACTCCAATGTATATGGGACGGAGGCCTTTTGTACAATAATAATCTCTGACTTTGACTTGGTAACAATTTTGTTCAAGTTCATGATGTATGTAAACTGGATTTTTCTAAGGTTTCAAGTGTTCAATTTACACACAAGTCATATTCATATCTGGCAATTATCTAAGTTAACAGAGGCAGTAACATATACCTGGTAGTTTTAAGGTGAAAAATGTGTCACAAATCTATCCAGGCATTTGTTATAGCCCATCAACTTCAGGTGTGTTTTTAAAAAAGACGTGAAACATATAACAGTAAACTAAGAAAGCCCTGATGATAATCAGACAAAATAAAATCATACACAGAGATACCTTTAAAGGCAGTCCCTACTTACGGTCTGTACTACATGTGAGACAAACTACAGAGTTTTCTATAAGACAATTACAAGGATCAAATTACGATTGCATTTACAAAGCATTTGAACAATAATCAGCGTGAACATATCTGATACTGACCTTTGGGGCTCTTCAGTGTAAGTCTCGAATCCTTCCAAGAAGTCCTCCACAACCTGAAAATAGTGAAACAGGAGTGGGTTTTCAGCTGAGGGAGAATATTTCCAAACATTTCATACATCGGATTTTGTTTGTAAGCAGTCAATGTAATGATTGCTGGCCTGATTGAATTCGTAACTACTAAGAAATGCATTATGTACAGTACAACCAGAAATTATTGAGAATTGAAAGATTGTAATTTTTTTTATTTTCTCACTCATTACTCACGTATTAATTTAATGTGAATATTAGCAGAACATAACTCAAGATTCAAAGACAGGTGAACAGTTAGTATTTTGTCAAGACACCATGGGCAGCAATGCAGGCTTCAATGCGGCGGGGCATACTACTGATCAAAGAAGTTAGAAAGTCATGGTCCATGCTGTCCCAATATCGGACCACCTCTTCTTTCATTTCAGCAATATTTGTCAGATTTTTCTTATTGACACTTTCCTTCATAAGTCCCCAAACATTTTCTATTGGATTTAGGTCAGGGCTATAGCTTGGCCAATCTAATAATGTCATATTTTGGGTCCGAAACCAGGCCTGTGAATGCTTTGAACGATGTTTTGGGTCGTTGTCCTGCTGGAAAATCCAAAAATGTCCATAGAACACATGAGCAGATGGAAGTAAATGTCCCTCGGGAATATCTGTGTACCGCTCACTGTTCATATTCCCTTCAAATACAGTTAGTTGCCCCTAACACAGATATGCCACCCCACACGTTAAATTTCGGACTGTACTTTGGGCGCTCATACAAAGGTTTTTCAGTTTGTTTGGTCCAGAATTTCAGTGTATTAGGAAACAGCCACACAGAACTTTCATCTGAGAAAATCACTTTGTCCCAGTTAAAATTTCTATGCTGTAAGCACCACTTCAACCTTCGCTCCTTTTGTTCAGGTTTCATGATCGGTGATGGAATTCCTCGACTTTTCTGCCAACCCATTGCACGCAGCTCAGTTCTAATTGTCTCCTTACAGACAGCCACAGTTCCTCTATCAATCATATCCAGCCTTAAGTTTTCTAAACTCCTTCGTTTGTTTTTAGAAACAAGAATACCAAGCCGCCTCCTGTCACCGACAGCCATTTTTCTGGGCCTACCTGCGCCTACCTGGTGCTCAATGCCATATCCATTTGCAATATTTTTCAAAACACGATAAACAGTGGACAAAGGGATGCCTGTTCTACTTGAAATCACTTTAGCTGATCTGATGTCCTTGTTATAATACTCTAAACTCAACTTCCTCTTCTCTAAATCATCCATACTGAGGATCACTAAAAATGTCGTCTGCTAGCAAGTAAACAAAGGGGGATAACTCTTCACAAACTAATGAAAAAGGATTAACGGAGATGTCTCTCTTGAATGAAACCAAGCACTTGATAGCTGGTCAAGGTTGTTTATACTAGAAATCCAATTAAACATATTCCTAAAATTCTCAATAATTTCTGGACATACTATATACTCTTCAGAGTGTTACAGAATTACTCCAACCTACCGATGGGTAGTCATTGTGCCTCTTGATGCTCAGCAACAAATCTCTCTGGAAAACAGCCTGGTCCACGGCTGGAACAAAACAAGAAATATCATAGTCCCTATGATAACATGTCTGTTGGGGTACCATACATTTCACCAACACATCCGAACAATATTTTATCACTGAAGGATACGTCCGATATGCAGGTTTTGCTCCCTCGAGAAATGCAAACAAAGTTATTTCACCAAGTCTTCTATACATTCGTTTCAAAATCTTGAACTGAATTGTTTTTCAAGTTCAAATAAAGTTCAAATACTATTTATTATATATTAATGTAGATAAGCAAAATTCTGAGAACAAAAAAAGCAGTCTGTAGAAGGAGATCGGCTTATCTACAGGTTACACTTTTATCAAACTTATCAGGGGGTATAACAACATTATATCGCTTCGCGTAAACGAACAAGAGAAGACGACTTTGTCAGTAAAGACGTCAATTTTTCATGCCTAAATGCAGCTAAATATCCATTTAACCTGTTAATTCAACAGGGGTGACAATGTTTTGTGAGTTGATTTTTTTTAAATGGGAAGTTGGGATTGGAGGACTAACAGATTTATGAGCAGATTGTAATATCACAAAAGTGGCCCTTGACATAATCAATCCACTAAATTGTACAGATCTTTTGAAAACTCTCCATCCCTGATAAGAGCAAGGGAATGTTTTCAATCAGCTGTTACCAATCTACAAGCACATAATGGGGCACCAAGCATATGTAACATACTACAGTCTGAATGAGGACTCACTAAGTTCGTTGTTGGAATGGCCATCTTTCAGAATAAATCCAGCATTCACTATCAGTTCTGTGAACACAGATTTCTCTGTGTAGACATCTGTTGATTTCTTCTTCTTGCTCGACTGAACTGAAAAATCAAATGAATGATTTATAACTTGATGACATAGTGAGCACTATCAGGTATCTGAGTGAGTGAGTAAGTTTAGTTTTACGCCACACTCAGCAACATTCCAGCTATATGGCTGCAGTCTGTAAATAATCAAGTCTGGGCCAGACAATCCAGTGATCAACAGCATGAGAATCGATCTGCGCAATTGGGAACCTATGACATGTGTCAACCAAGTCAGCGAGCCTGACCACCCGATCCTGTTAGTCGCCTCTTACGACAACCATTGTCACCTTTTGTGGCGAGCATGGGTTGCTGAAGACCTCTTCTACCCCGGATCTTCACGTGTCGATCAGGTATCTGAATGAATCATAGCACTGTATCATGATCATAGTGCAAAAGTAAACTAATTCAGGGGGTTGTATTGGAACTCGCAGTAATATTCCAGCTATATGCTGGTGGTCTGTATTTGAATCTGGACCAAACAATCCAGTGATCAACAGCAGTAGTCACTGGTATGTCAATGTGTGTATGGAAGTAAATTATTGTACAAACTCAACTTTATGAAGGTAACTAACGGGTGGTCAGACTCAGTGGGCTGGGCTGATGCTTATCATCAAATCCCATTCGAGTAGGCTGATGCTCATGATGTCCATCACTGGATTGTCTGGTCCAGGCTCAACTATTTACAGACCACCATCACATAGTTGGAATACTGCTGGTTGTGGTGGTAAACACAAATATACCAATGTATAAACTACAAAAAAACTAGAGAAATAAAGGTCCATTCGTTAATTTATTGTCGTGGAAAGTAATGTTCCAGCTATAAGAAGGCATCGACCAATGACTGATATTATGAGCAATGTTGAGTACAATGACCACCAAATACATGTCATCTACTCTCTAGACAAGTATAGGTAGCTGTGGACAATCCTAACTAAGCCCATAGTATGTAGGTGAGGTGAGGTGAGGTGAAATTTGGTTTAACATTGTGCTTGAGAATATTTCGCTCAAATGACGACGTGCATGCGTGTGTATGTGTATGTGCGGCTGCTTGTACTAGCCCAGACTTAAGCTGGTTTTATAGTGCTAGCCCACTGAGATACCATGCCGCAGTGAAGCATGAATACCCCACTCAGACACATTATACTGACTCCGAGCCGACCAGTCCTTGTTGTACTCATTAATGCCGAGCGCCAGGCAGGGACCAACAAGTACCATATTTTAACGTCTTTTGGTATGAGGATCGAACTCGCAACCTTCCGGGCGGACGCTCTAACCACTACACCACAGAGGTGGTCCCATACTATGTAGATGCATATTCATTACATCCATTGGAACTATACAAAGGGAAACAAATAAGGGAAAACATGAAAATACAAGTATTTGTTTATACTTTTCCATGTATATTCACAACCTGTTGGCACTGTGGGTGAAAATCTGAGAATAAATACAGAACACTGCTATGAAGTGGTGTTCCATTATTTGTTTCTCTGAGTTGCTGTAAGGGTTAGTAGGGGATAGAAACATGATATAAAACACTTTATAAATTAACTAAACAAATACTAGTCAAGATGTTTTCCATTCATTAAAACAAGAAGATGACTACTACATTACCGATGGTCAGAAAGCTACAGATTTTACCTGAGGGATCACTGTTTTTCCTTTTTCCTTTCTGCATATTGCTTGTTCATTAAAGTGCACACAACTCAAGATGGATGAGAGTTGAACCTACAAAATTAGAATAAATGAGTGAGTGAGTGAGTGTGTGTGTTGGGTTTTATGCCACTTTTAGCAGTATTCCATCAATATCACAGCAGGAAACACCAGAAATGGGCTTCACAATACAAAATGTGGGGAATCGAACCAGGGCCTTTAGCATGACAAGCAAACGCTGTAACTGCCCCCAGAACATGGTAATTTCATGATTGCCTGTAATTTACATATTGTATGAGAATTGGGTGAATGAGGTTAACTGAAATTAAAAATATTATACGTATTCAATTTAGACAAATTATACATACAGCTATGTCTTATTTCACAACCAGTTTGCTCAAATGCTACAATTGAATTGACAAATGTCAAACAGCTTTGAAATTATCTCCCTTGGATACAAGAAACAATCATTTTATTTGTACAAACATGATGAATGTAGAATACAAAAGATGCTTTAGGTTATTTTAGATTTCTAAACATACTATTTATTGTGCATGGTTACTGTATCTTTAATTTTTATCATGACGAGTTGTTCCAGCTTAATATATAGATAACACATATAGATCCTCACGTTTAAACATAATGATTGTAAAGGGGTGCGTTATCATAACGACCATAAAAGGTGTTTGATCGGAATAGAGTATCTATACCTTCTGATGGTAAAGGGTTGCTTGGACGGAAAGGGGATCCATGGGCTGAGGGTGGAGTTCAAATAACATTCCCAAACCCCTTCTGAACTAACCCAACGATTATCCTAGTCTGTCATAACTGTAACCCATGTAAGTCAAGAATATTGGCAAGCCTAGATCACCACAGTTTCTAGAAGAAACTCTTTGGGCTCCTTATTAGTATGTTTTGCGAACATAATTCATGAACTGACTGGGTGCAGGCTAAAACGGAACCGCGTCAAAACGGTACCAAAAACCAATTGGCGAAAACGGAATCACTCTGGCGAAAACGGAACCAATTTTCTCTGGCGAAAACGGAACCACATTATTAAAAAAACACCAAAACACTACTAGTTTTTTTGGTTTTTATTTAACACGATCAGTTTATCTCATCAATAACAGTTCATCACGTTCTGCATCACGTTTTCATTGGATGACTGGTCCGTGGATCATGGCACACCTGGAGAGCAGCTGGCTGAGTGTCAGGTCTGTTCGTTTGTACATTCTCCAGACGGCAAAGATCTCTTCCTGACGTGCTGTTGCAGCTTTCCTTAGGTAAGACCTGAGTCTCCCCTCCAAGATTAGGCGTGTCTGGATCTGCAGGAGGGCAGCTTCTCGGTGTAGCTCTGGTATAAGTCTATAAATACCCAGAGCTTGCTCCCCAACCTTGCCATTCATCCGTCGGTGCCATCCTGAAATAATATGGGATACTGTATAAATAAAACTATACAATTCAAGTTTTTATTACAAAATCTTATTTTAATATATAATACTATAATACTACTATTACTAATAATAATATACCTTCGACGTGGTTGTTGGTGCGGATGGTCACGCGGTAAGCACTCCACGTAGATGGCTCGAAAACTTGATGCTCCATCCACTGACGCCTGAAATATATGATCAGCTGATTCAGTGGTCCATGTCTCTCCACCCGGTCCGCAATCTTGGCAAACATCCTCGGAATGTGTTCCGAAGGCAAAAACGGCAGGGCCATGAGTTTCCTAACAAACTTGTGTACGGCATCATCCTTCTGGTAGGCAATCTGGAAAAATAAGGGAAAACAATTTAGGGAAAATATGTATAAATACATAATAAATAAAAAGTGATAAGTATAAATAAAAACACAATTTACCTGCAGACCAAATTCCTGGCATTTTCTCCAGACCGCTTGGGTTAGGTGGAAAAGGCATCCACGAAGACGGACGGCAGGTAGAACCTTCGCAAGAGCTTTCCACGTTGCTAGCTCAAAATCCAAGATGACAGTCTTCACCTCAGGTTCCCTTGGTAATATGGCCAGCAAACGACGAAACACCTTCACGTAATCTTATGTACGTCGACGATAGACGTGAATGGAAGAGTCAACCATGTCAACAGCAAGTATCCATTTTAAATCATTATCGTTGAGCACTTAGTTAACGTAAAGTTTTATTTATACATTTAATTTAGAGCTAAAATTTTATGGTTCCGTTTTCGCCAAGTCAAGGTTCCGTTTTCGCTAAGTCAAGGTTCCGTTGTCGCCAAGTCAAAGTTCCGTCTTCGCCAATTTGGTTCCGTTTTGGTTAGTACCGTTTTGGCGTGGTGCCGTTTTAGCTATAACCCAACTGACTTTATTCTTTTAAAATATGTCCATTTTTTCAGACTGGACAAGATGTTAGTCAAAAAGCAACGAAGATGCTCGTAGCAAATCAAAGGCCTAAACCAATCAGCGCTGTGGCAAGCTGCGCCCGGTAAACTGCATTGTTATACTGCCTTGTACTGATCACCTTTTGTTGGTAAGGTAACAATGTATGACTGACAGCAGAGGGTTGTGTTGAGCTGTCCACCATATATGAGCTTGCCCGGTAACTTACGATCAGCTGCAATGGGCGCTTAAGTTTAGACGGTGTGTGGGATCCCTCCTACAGATCTATGAGCATCGTTAAAGGATTTATGTTCATGATAACGGTTTCAAAATACATTGGCGAAGATTACAGTTGGAATGTCATCAAACTTACTCTTTATATTTACACACGCTGTGTCACCGGAAAGTGTCTATTTCACTAGTGTTGAATTCTTATTTCCCGCCATGTTTGTTTACGAAACACTTGCTATAGTATACCCCTAACAACTAATAATTTAAGAGCAACTTCGCCAGTCTTCTGTTGGTATGTATGAAGCGCTCGTTACAGCTCAAGTGAACAAACGTCGAAAATGGCTGCTATAGTTGTTTGTTAGTGGTAGATGAGGTATACTTTATTAGTGAAGATCGATGCACTTTTGAATCCTCTCAGTATACGGACGACATTGTACCAAACCAAAACGGAACCGGAACGGAAATTGATACACCTAAACCGACAAAGTATTTACGTAGCTAAAATATAATTTATGCTATTCAAAAGGCATTTATCAATAAAAAATACACTCTCTGCTAGTTAGGAGAAATTAAGAAGTTTTTGTGAAAGTATTCTGATACAAAACGCTAAGTTTACAAAATATTGCATAGCATTATTTGCAGATTCATATAGATCTATACCCTTTTTAAAACATGTAACAGTAGTATTTGTGTACAGTGTGCGAAATAGTTTCCACATTCTGTTAGCCAGTCGGGCTAGCTATGCCTGAAAGTTACGAGCCCACAAAATAATTCACTTGCTCGAAATTTGAATGTCGACACGGGTTTCATCATCAAGCTGCTAATACGATGAACATTTTTATCAGGCCATAATCGTGCATGATTTAAAAATGTATTATAACTTAACAAGTCGGAGAGAGTGATATATTTACAAAATGATCCCGTGAACATTCACTAGTCAGTCGGGCCTGTAACTGTGGAGATTTACTGGCCTGACTGGATTTGTTCTAGCAACGGGCTAGCGGGTCAGTGTCTATTTCGCACACTGTTTGTGTAATCACTATATTCATCATGATACATGCAATTTTAGAAAAAAAAGTCAAATGTAACATATTTGTAAAATAATAATTTAGCTACAGTAATGTTCTCAGTGTACGTGTATTTATATGCAGCGCTGATGTTACATGCCCTGTACCTGTATAATTGGCCGGTGGTCCCTTTACCTGAATAAAGCATGATATTTTTTAGGAACACTTTTTAGCAAAGTAGAATTTCTAGTACGGTTTGGGATTGAGTCCCATTCAGGACTTTCAGAGGTGGCACCTGATCGCTCACACACAGTCAGCCATATAACACGTCACATTTTACCATTTCCTATAAGACATTGTGTGTTTACAGTTTTCGGTCCATCCTGGTTCCCGGGCCTCTCATTAGTTTATATAGATATATACTAATGATCGAGAGGCCCGGGAACCAGGAAGTGAAGTCCTTTTCTGGTGTCCCCCGCCGTGATATTGTTGGAAAATTGCTAAATGCGGCGTTAAACTAAACTCACTCACTCGGATTGTCAGAGTATGAGTTTTAGAATAAATGTATGACTGAAATAAATTCATTTAACAAAATTCTAACACATTTAATTGAAATGTTACTATATTTAATGGTCAGAGCGTACTTCAATAAACACATATCATGACAATTAAACAAAGAGTCATTATCGATAAACCCCAAAGTTACATTATACAGACCCAAAGTCGATAACTCGATGGTAGACGATACCGATACTGTCTCCAAAGTTGATTTCAATATTATCGACGCAAACGCAAGTATCATCTATTATGATGAAAGTATTTTCTACGTGAAAGTATCTTCTACCAGTAAATATCATCTACGTACATGATAATTGTCTCTGGTTCCTGGTTCCCCCTCGCGGTCAACGATCACTGTCTTCACTGCCCTTGTTCTCTGATTCTCATCTGTCTACATGCGCTGGGTGGACCGTGTGCTCAAACCAATCAAACCAATTATCGTCGGAACACCTGAATGTCTCAGTACCAATTAAGCAATCAAGCTTATCCACGAGCAAGCTTATAACAAACAATGGTGGTCGTGATCAGTCAATTACTTTCAATATTACTCTCGTCCAAATTGACTAACAGTGGTCCGTTTGGACCAGAGAAACCACAAACTCGGCTGGTCCGTTTATATTTGCCAGTTACCTTAGTCTTTATTTTATTGTAAGATTTGACTTTAGAAAAAGCTTGACACCTGCCTAAAAATGCTTTATCTTTCGTTTATCAGCGAGTAGGTGTGTGGGTAATGGGAATTCTTCTTTATTTTGAGTAGAGTTTATATAATGACTACTTAATCAATAACTGGCATGTTTGATTTAATTCATATTCAACGAAGCGAAAAATTCAAACCACGTGTCTTGACACTGAGGGGTTTTCACAACGACAATATGTCCTTTCTGTTTTAAAGTAAATATTTTGCCATTACCTGTTTCCCTCAGTACATTGAATTACTCAACCTACGTGTGTAACATAAAAACTCCAAGAGCAAAAGATGAACAATAGAGTAAAAGAGATGGAATCGATCATTCAAACCAGGGAGACTATATAATGTAGAGTATCCCTGTTCAAACCAATAGTCCCGTAAAAATCAACAGAAGACTTTGAAATCATTTTTTTACATAAGTAGTTTTGCTGAAAGCAGTATTATTTAAAACCTTTCTGGGAAGTACCTCCAGCCAATGATTACTCAGTACGATGACCTCACCTTTGAACTTTCAGGTCACAACAAGAAATGTCAGCATGCGGGAAAAGATTCTTGTTCGCCTTGAAAATATTTTGAAATGTTATCTATTTCTTGAGCTTTTCGAAGCAAATTGACGCCCTGTGCGTATATGCTCTCATCATCTCCATACTGCACTGAATGAAAAGACTTGTCAAGGGGTAAGTTATATTTATCAAGAAAACACTTGTTGACAGCACAAAGTTTCTGACACAGAGTTTTCTCCGAGTCATGTGGTATATAAGTGATTATGTTTTCGTTTGTTTTTTTAATGTAGGGCTTTGATTCAGTCTTTTGTGGGAACCTTAACTGAGTCATATATTTTCCTAGCATGTGATGTCTTTGTAGTTTATCTTTACCCAGAGACATGAAATCAGTGCAAAACTTCAAGCACTAAACTTAACTCGTTCAAAAGCATTCATGCAGCCTTTCCCTGTTTGTAAATATAATTCTTTATAATTCAGATAGACACTGTTTTCAAAAATATATAAGCTTATCAGTGCAGTCATTTGTAGATTGTATCGAAATTTGTGTAGGTATAACTGGGATGCTTGACAACCTTCACAAGAGCCATCGTTCATATAAATTTATGAATGTAAATTTAAATGTCGGATGAGGTATAATTAGGAGCACCTATATAGTGATATGTGTTGTTAATGCCACTCTCAGCACTGCTGTGGCAATATGACAACATCCTATAGATAATAAAAATATGAAGCAGGCCCTAAAGTAGTCATCATCATCATCATCATCATCATCATCATCATCATCATCATCCCTCACTTATCCTGATGCAAGTTTAGGCTGAAATGTGAAATACCCTTGGGCTACAGATTTTAAGACTTAACAAACATCATGTTAGATAAATGATATTAATTCACAAAACAATTTGCATTTGGTTGTTGTGTTAAATTTTCTCCAAACCATATTGCCAAATATTTTTTTTTAACAACTGTACATGTTTAGGATGCTTCCAAGAGAGCAGGCATTCTCCTCACCACTTTGGATCCACCAGTTTACCCAGTCCACAAATTTACAGATACTGATCAATGAAGTCGCTTCACTGTGAGGATAAGTTAGTCTGTCTCACAGTCCCTGAACCACAATATTTTCCATTCCGCCTATCCCTTTCTACAAACCCATGAAGGTCCGATTACAATATTGATCTTCAGTAACCCATGCTTGTCGTAAGAGACGACTAACGGTATCGGGTGGTCAGGCTCGCTGACATGTCATCGATTCCCAATTGCGCAGATCGATGCTCATGCTGTTGATCATTGGATTGTATGGCCCAGACTTGATTATTTACAGATTGGCGCCAAATAGCTGGAATATTGCTGAGTGCGGCGTAAAACTAAACTCACTCACTCCCTTCCTGCAATGCTGAAGCCCTAAATATAGCAAGTCTAGATTTCCACAGGTTCAATAATCTCACTTCCCACTGGGGCTCCTTATCAATTTAAAAGGAATTGTTTGTTTCTATCAAAAGTATATATATTCAGAGACTAAGCATTAGTCTAAGGACAAGTATATGTTACTGAGTATTCTAACCCAGGGCCCCACCAGGGCAATTAAAAAAATGTTATCTGGGCCATCTTTTTGAAAACATAGCCAGTTTGTAGTTCAAGAAAGTGCTTTTCCCTTTCATTGCTGGAATTTACGTTTTTATATGTTTTTCAGAAAATTAACCAATAACAGCATGTGTTAATACATCCCAAATCCCAAGTGTAAATGCAGATTGGGCTCCAGATTAACATATCAAGTTACTTCTTCAGCTTCAACACCCGGGATGAATCATCCATCCACTTTCTCAATGTCTGGAGATTATCAGATAAGCCTAGCCACTCTCAAGTGCTCTCTTTACAAGGGTTCAGCTAATGCTCATTCCTACAACATGTGTGAGGTCCCTATATGTGATAGGAGAGATGCTGATTCATATGTTTGAGGGCTTGTTTCCATAACAAGGATGTTGTGTGTTTGCTGAGTGAGCAGGTCTGTAGCGGATATAATGTGGAGGTGGAATGTGTGTGTGTGCTGGATCCCAGACACTGGCTACTTGATATCAATGGACATACAGGGATTTACACAACGCGAATTCCTGCGTCCTATACGCATGAACATTGACAATGGACGCAACCAAATTTATTAGCGCGTCCACAAGGACTCAGAAAAAAGTCCAAATACTTTTTGTAAAAATTCCAATCAAGTGACAATAAGTTATCATTGAGTTTGCTACTAGCTGGGTTATGGTATTATTTACAATTTAATTACTGTAACAATGTGCTGATCATGATACACAATACAATAACAGTATTAGTAATAATATTAGTTTGTCATACAGACCCTGAAGCAAATATATCCAAGAAAGCCCACGCAAGTCTAGAAAATGTGGCAAGTCTAGATTTCCTCAGCTTCTGAAAATGAAGAAAGTCTCAAGGCTCCTTTTCATTATT